CGAGATCACCAACTGGCTGACCTACAGTGGGACACAGAGGGTAGGCTCCCTCTACCCCATCAAGCAGGTGGGTAGCGTGTCAGGCTGAGTGTGTCCATGATGTCTTGTCTGGGTGTGTGTGTCTGGGTATTTCCCATGTTTCCCAAACTCAGCATTTGTGTGCTTTTATCACAATTTTACCATGTCATCATTCTTCTTCTTTTCTGTTTAAAGGTTTTATTTATTTATTTATTTATTTTTAGAGAGGGGAAGGGAGGGAGAGAGAAACGCCAATGTGTGGTTGCTTCTTGCACACCTCCTACTGGGGACCTGGCCTGCAACCCAGGCATGTGCCCTGACTGGGAATCGAACCAGCGACCCTTTGGTTCACAGGCCTGTGCTCAATCCACTGAGCCACACCAGCCAGTGCTTGTCATTCTTCTTGAACCATTACCTACTTAATATTTTTCTCTAAATCAATTCACCTTTTTCCCTACTGTATCTTTATCTTAGGAATAATATTCATAAAATCATGGGTTTGATGTGGATGTGTGATTTTTCCTTAATAGACAATATAGTAAATACATTACCATTAAATTTTTAACAATAAGTTTATCCATCGAGGACTGAAGATTATGCCACTTTGAGAAACCTGTGTCCACATGTCTGGACGTGTGTCTTATTTCTTGCATGTGCATTAATGTGGACGCCTGGCCTTAGGGTCTGCATGGGTTTGTGTGTGCCTGTTTGAGGGTCTTTTCTGTGTTTGAGGGTCTTTTCTGTGTCTGTGAAGTCATTCGTGACCACGGGTCTGCGTAGGTGACTTGTGGTTTGTGTGCATATGCATCTGTGAGAGCACGTTCTCGAGGACATGTGACTGTGACACTGTTGTGGTCCATAAAGCCACAGACTCTTATAACATCAGTGCTAGAAGAAACCTCGGAGATTATCTCCAACTCCCACACTTTACAGATGGGGGAATAAAGGCCCCGAGAAGTGGACAAGGACTTGTTCTGCCATCTTGAGCAGGGCAGGAAGTACAGCACCTCCATGGACCTGAGCTTCCTCACCTTTAAAATGGGGGTAACACATATGATGGAATTGGTTTGAGGACTGCAGAGAATGTATATAAAGTCCTTAGAACAGTGCTTGAGTGGATAAGCATAAGCAAACGTCAACTGTGATGCTTATGACTGTGACTGCCATCACCGGTACCCGAGGTCCCCAGCTGATTGGCAGCAGAGGCTGATCTGAGGGCTGACAGTGCCGCGTCTGCCCTGCCAAGGCAGCGCTTTAGCATGGGCGTGTGCGCACGCATCCGTATTCCTACACGTACCCGTAGCAAACCTAAGCGCCTGGTGTGGAGTAGGTGGGAGGGACCCTGCGTTGGTTAGGATGTGTGAGTTTGCATGGCTGTGAGTATCCGTGTGTCTGTTGCAAACTTCTGTGCAACTGTGTGGACCTTGGGTTTATCTGCTAGTGTGTCCCTCTGCACACATCCGTGAGTATGTATGGACATGGAACTGTGTGGGTGTGGATGTATGCTTTAGATGTGCCCTTGGTATTTGTGTGGGAAACAAGGGATGACTTAAAGAAGGGCCAAGGAAGGTGTAGGGGCAGGAAGGAGGGCTTGGGAGCTTGGGATACTGGAGGGTCCAGAGGTATGGGTGTTGGGGGCCCAGCTGGGAGCATCTCTGACCAGGGAGCCCTGACTCTCAGCTCCCTCCACTCAACAGCGCCGGGCTTATTTCCGCCTCTGGAATGCGGCACTGGGGGGATTCCTGGCTGTGCCAGACCACGTGGAAGACATGAAGGCAGGCCGTGTGGTGGTCTCTGAGCCTGCAGCTGGAGGTAGTTGCATCTGGTACTATGAAGATGGGCTGCTGAAGAACCAGGTACTGGTTTAGTGGCTGGGACAGGGACCCCAGGACCCCAGGCATACACAGGCTTACCTTGGGAGTCCCAGTGCAGTCAGTAACAGGACCCCCTCTTGGGCCAGAGACACATACATACAGACACTAAGACCCTGGGGAGGTGGAGAATGCAGGCTGTTTACCCCCTGGGCATTCAGGCTCAGTCCCCCATGTGCAAAACAAGAGCTTTGATCCAGATGCTTCTAAGGGGCTTCCCAGCTGTGATATCCTGTGACAGAACCTGGGTCCTGGTAACACTGATGGGTCCACTGCGCAGACATTTCCCAGGCACCGACTCTGTGCAGGACACTGCTCTGGGTGCCGGGAGTACAGCAGTGAGGAGGCGGAAATGACTCTTGCCCTCCTGAAGCTTACATCCTCGTGAGGAGTGGCAGAAACAACTTAAATGAGTAAAATATCTTAGCACCTTAGATGATGGAAAGTATAATAGAGCAACAATTTTCAACCTTTGTCATCTCATGGCACATATAAATTAATGACTAAAATTCTGCGGCACACTAAAAAATATATTTTTCTGCTGATCTGACCAAAAATAGGTATAATTTTGATTGATTTATAAATAATAATAATAAGTAATTACTTACCCTTTTTACTCCAGAGTGACTTTTTAAAAAACCAGGTGCCTATACTTGTATATAAGGATTTCTGGCACCACAAAAATTAACCAATCAGATGCAACCTTAGCAACGTGACTAATAAGGTGCAACTCTATTATATGACCTATACATTTATGGTTCAAGACGGCATCCACACTGGATGACTATTGTTGTGTTGGCTTTTGTAATTTAAAAAAATTTATTTATTTATTTATTTATTTTTAGAGGGGAAAGGTGGGAGAGAGGGAGAGAAACATAAATGTGAGAGAGAAACAAATATTGATTGCTTGGTTACCTGTAGCATGTGCCATGACCGGGGACTGAACCTAGAAGCCAGGCATGTGCCCCAACCGGGAATCCAACTGGTGACCTTTCATTTTGTGAGATGATGTCCCACCAACAGAGCCATGCCAGTCAGGGCCTGTCGTCATTTTTTTATTTGACAATCTAAGGGAAAAAAAATCAATGCCCCTGCCTACATAGTCAAGTATTGCATGTTTTAAAAATTCTTCCTGGCTGGCGTAGCTCAGTGGATTGAGTGCAGGCTGTGAACCAAAGTGTCGCAGGTTCGATTCCCAATCCCTGGGTTGCAGGCCATGACCCCCAGCAACCGCACATTGATGTTTCTCTCTCTATCTATCTATCTCCCTCCCTTCCCTCTCTAAAAACAAATAAATAAAATATTTAAAAAAAATTCTTGTGGCACACTGATTGAAAATTGCAGCAACAGAGAAAAAAAAAATGAATCAAAGAAATAGGAAGTATCAGTAGCTCTGACAAGGGGACCCCTTTCAGAGAAAGTGCCGTTTGAAGGGCGCAGCCAAGCAAATGTCTGATGAAAGTGTTCCAGATAGAAGGAACAGCAGGTGCAAAGGCCCTGAGGTAGGAACATGCCTGGCATTTTCCAGGACTAGCAAGACCACCTGCATGGCTGGATTGAAGCGAGTAAAGGAAGAAGGAGCAGGAGATGATATCAGAAAGATTATGGGGGTGTAGGTCTTTGTAGGCTATTAAAAGGGGGTTGTCTTTCAATGAGAATAAAAGGAAACACTGGCTATGTACTCAGGGTGCTGTGTTAAGCCCTTCACACGAATACCCCCTATAATCCATAGGGAACACGAGGGCAGATTCTATTTTGCTCTCCCTTTTACAGGTTAGGAAAGCAGAGCACAGAGAAGTTAAGCACATGACTAAAAGTCACACAACCAATAAGTGTGCCATGGCTTGTCTGATGCTGAAACCTGTGTTTTGGGAGTCGGTCATAGAAGATTTCCTGGAGGAACTAATATTTTTTCAGCCCTCATATGACTTCTCACTGTTGAACCCTCACAACAGTGAGCACTCAAGGGGTTCCCATCTCCAAGGAAACTAAAGCTCAGGAGGATTAAGAGATTTGCCCAGGGTCATAGTCCAGAAGGATTCAAAGCTGGGTGTGTCAAGGGTGTCTTTGGTGGAATCTCTGTGAAGAGGAACAAACAGTGCCTGACAACCTCTTGGGGGCGCAGGTGGCCCCCACCATGAGCCTGCAGGTGATTGGGCCCCCCAGCACAGGCTCAAAGGTGGTGCTGTGGGCTGAGAGCCGCCTGCCCCGTCAGACGTGGAGCATCAGCAAATCGGGCCACATCTGCAGCCAGATGTTTGAAGGTCGGATTCTAGATGTGAAGGGTAAGTTGGGGGATATGTGTGGGAGAAGGCACCTGAGGGGGTGAGGGGCAATGGTGTCCCCAGCTTGTGCTGACTATTTCCCCATCTCTTTCTCCTCCCCCAGGTGGCCGGGGCTATGACCGGGACCACGTGGTGCTGTGGGAGCTGGCCAAGGACAGGGCTTCCCAGATCTGGACCATACATGTGCTTTGACACCCTACCCTCCCAGTCCCGGTGGCTTTCTCTGAGATGAAATGTTTTTATAGTATTTTTTGTTGTTGTAACATAAGTTGTTTTCTAATATCCTCCTGGGTGTCCTCCTTTCTGTGCACTTGATATTTGGGGGTGGGATTGAGGATTCGTTCACCTGCCTTCTTCCCCCTGCACTCAGTCTTGATTCTTCCCTTCCGGCTTGTCCTGGGGCTCAGATGCAAGGCCTCCCTTTACCATCAGAGGGAGCCCTGGGACCGGACAAACTGTTGAGTGTGGTCGTTTATGGAGAGTCACCCCAAATGATGTGTTTTGAGAGCCTGTTCTGAGCTAGCCCGGCTCTGCGCTGTGGGAGCACACACAGGAACCAATCCCCCTGGTCCCTGCCCTCGGGAAACTCACAGGTTCCAGTGGAGGATTCTGATGGTGAAGACGGTAGGTCTCTGCAAGGCGATCAGAAGGGGAAGGGCCTCACCATTTGGACTTTGGAGGAGGCAAGCTGGGGTGGGAGCTCCCTAGCACAAACTCCTGCTGATGGGGGCATGATTGGGGGGGGGGCATGGGAGGCTCCTTGGTGCTGCTGCAAGCCTGGTTTTGGGGGCCCGATGATGTCCAGTGACCACACATAGGACCCTACTCTGAGTACAGGACAACTTTATTGTACTTGGGCTGGGTGATGCTAACCCCTTTCCCGTCAGTACCTCCCTGTGTCGGCCTTTGCCCCCAAGGCACTTCCTGTCACCACAACGGGTGACATCTGGTATGAACCTCTTCCAAGTATCGGGGTGAGGAGCTTCTCTTAGTAGTGATGGTGGCAGCTAACACGGAGGACGCAGGGCTAGGGCTGAGGCATGACCTCAGCTGAGGTGGAAGAGCTGGATGAAGGTGTTGGTCAAGACGATGAGGATGCTGACACCGCCCAGGCTGCTGAGTGCTGGGGCCGCACCTGTTTGTTTCTTGGTGGTGGCAAAGGGGGTAGTGGGGTTCTCAATGAGGGTGGTTTGGGTCGTGGTTTGGGCCGTGCTGCGGGCTGTGGTGCGGGCCGTGGTGCGGGCCGTGGTGCGGGCCGTGGTGCGGGCAGGGGTGCGGGCCGTGGCTTGGGCGGTGGTGTGGGCAGGGGTGCTGGGGGCGGCGGCGGTGGAGACGGTGGTGTGGGTGCTTTGCGCGGTGGCGGCGGCGGTGGTGGTGGTGGAGGTGGTTTGCAACATTCCTCTTTGTATCTACAAGAAAAGTGGGGCAAGCTTTCGAATCTCAAGTTTGTGTAGAGACAGAGATCCCCTCCCCAACACAATAGTCCTCACTTCTCTGTCCCCTGACCATGACTTCTGCCACCAGTTCCTGTGGAGACAACTGGCTGCTTCCTGCCTTGACACAGGCAGGGTCACAGGCAGGGTCACAGGCAGGGTCACAGGCAGTCCCTGGCCCACCTCCCACAGAACTTTCCTGTCACTTCCAGGCCACCAGCTTCTCCAGCATGTGGAAGATAGGGGAGCGAGCGGCCCCAGCCTCTGACCTTACCAGTTGGGCTAGGGGCTTAGCCTATCTGAGCCCCAGGTCCCTCATATTGTGAATGGGGAGAAGAGCACATCACTCTTGGCAGTGGTGGTGCAGGGAGTGGGGGTGGGGGGAGCACATGAGACAAGGCTGGTGAAAAGGCAGCTGGCAAAGTGTAGGTGAGTAGATGGATAGATGGGGAGGGTACGATCTTCTCCCTGAGTACATGGCCAGATGGTGATCAAACTGTCCTCAATGCATGATCAAGCTGCAACTAAAGCTGCCCCTGATGGAGATGAAGCCGTTTCTGGTGGTGCTCAAGCTGTTCTTGCTGGTTGATCAAGCTGTTCTTCATCAAGACCTTGATGGCTCCCTCTCTTATGCTGACTAGAGCCCTCCAGGCACATAGGATGCTGCTGAAGCTGCCTCCGGAATAGCAGTTGGTTTTGAGACTTCAGCTATTTCTGGAGTGGGCAATTTCCACCTTCTCTACGTTCCCAAACACCTCGGCTTGTCTCGCCGGGGGTTCCCTGCCACCTCCAGAACAGGATCAGAACTGGAACATTTCCTGGCCCCTCCTAGTAAGACCATTTCCCCAGGTTCCTGGTGGGTTGATGCCATCCTCACTCAGGGTTGTCTTTCCAGGCCTCTACATTCACTATTATTCCACAGTACCCCTTGGGTGCCTCCATGTTCCTGGCACTCTGAAAATGCTCCCTAGCCTCAGGTGCCGGCTTCTGTTCAGGGGCAACCCTGAAGCAGTCTGAACCCAGCCGGAAGGGTGAGACGGCTAGGGGCCAGACCCCTCTTAGTTCTTGGTTTGCCTGCTGGAGCCTTTCCTCCTCTGTTCCCATGGGAGAAGGCGGGGTGCCTAGGAACCTGTATTCCCTTCCTTACATACTGGCCTGGTCTGGGGGACCTGGGCAGTGGTGCCAGGGGCTCTGAGGGGTTGGTCTTACCTGAAGCATAACCAGGAAGCTGATGGTGAATAGGAGGAAGAAGCCCTTCATCTTGAAAGGATCTTGGTAGCAGCTTTTGGAGATAAGCTCGGGGCTTTCTGCAGGCTCCTTAAGGCTTGGCTGTTTTTGAACAAGGAGGCGGGGTGAATGGGAGAGGAAGGAGGGCCTATGGGGTAGGGTGGGGAGTTGCTTCCTTTTTACAGATCGCAGGGTTTAGGATACTAGGCCCCTAGGCTCTAGGGCCCAGGCTGATGGTGCATTCTGGGTTGGGAGCCAGCAAGATCCCAACCCCAAGGGATAGTAGGTGGGCAAGACAAGTAGGGACAGTAGGTGGGCAGCTGGAGGGCAGTGAATAGGGACCTGGGCTTGGAGTCCTGCCTGCTGGGGATTGACTTTTGGTTTAATTACCTAGCAATTCTGCAACCCTGGGCCAGACACTGTACCTCTCTGAGCCTTTAACAAAAGAGCAGCTGGAGAATTAAGCACAGTATAACCCATTTAAGTGTGCCAACACATAGTAAATTGTATATATATATATATATATATATGTATATATAATTTTTCAAAGAAGATTAGGGTGGGGTTTTTGGAGCTGAAAGAGAAAAGTTGGGATAGATTTAGGTTTCAAAGGAAGGTTGCATATGGCTGCGCAGGTCCAGAACATTAATGTTTGGGTTTGGGGGAGGGACAGTAGGTTTCTGTGGAAACATAGGGCCGCTGCCTTAGCACGCTGGGAACCTGGCCTCCAGGTAGGCCCACTGCCTCTGAGCCTCCTAGGTCTCACTTTAACTGAGAAGAGTAAAGTGAATTATTTCTGAAGTTTCTTAAGTAAGTCCTAGCATTTTTGTGATTTGGGTAAAGAAAATGGCAGACGGGTTGTTTGTGCCAATCTAGGATGGATGGGTTGCGGGGCTAGTGGAGGGACGAGCAGGAGACTAAACCGCAGTGGCAGGGATTTGGGGGGAGGGGCCGCTGTCCCAGGAAGGGATGGGGATCAGGTGAATCATAAAGCTATCCGGGCCACACTCCACTCTTTATTCTCTGTGTATTTTCTCACATTATTGTTTCGGTGGGGCCCTGCAGTAGGTCTTTCGACTATTCCCACTTTCCTGCTGAAGAAACTGAGGCTTAGATATTAACTGACTTGTCCAAGGTAACAAATGGTGGAGGTAGTCTCACTTGAACTTGAACCTAGGTCTCTCAGACACCACAGTCATGCATGTAACCTCTGGGGCTGCCCTAGAAGTCTTGATTTCCTGTCCCTGTCCTTCCTGGAGGATCCAGGTGTTGGCTCCTTAGCCCAGCTCCAGCCTCGCCCACTCTCCCTTTCATAGTCTGTTTTGTGTCTCATTTGCATGCCAGACAGTAAAAGAAAACTCCCTCTCACTTCCCTTTAATTGTTTTGGGCCTCCTGTTGCAAGCCTCAGAAAAACCTGAGTGGGCCCTAGGGACCTACAGCCCTGGCTAAAAAGAACTGAGAGTCCACTGGTGAGAGGAAGTGAAGAAGTGCAGAGGGAAGGGCCAGGAGTCTTGAGGACCCTGGGAGGGAAATGGGAAGAGCTCTCAATTACCAACTGCCACCCCTGTCAGCTTCTTCCCCAGAAGTCTCTTTCTGACCCAGGCTCAAGTATTAGCTTTTTTTTTTAGTACACTGATGGGGGTGCGTGATTGTGGGGGCTCATAAGAGTTGGGGAGGCAGCGTGTGCTGGAAGGGCACTGGCCCAGGAGACAGGACACCCGTGTTGACGTCCAAGATCGCTCTGCTGAAAGTTGGCCCCGTCTCACCGGGCAATCTTCTTTCCTCTTATGAGGAGGCAGCTGGACAGACTAAGCCCTGGGGCCAGCTGTGTCATCCCTTTTCCATGCTGCGGGTGCATATGAGGATACTTTGTAAAACTTTTCTCATCCCAGAAATTTCATTTTCACATTCCGCGCGTCTGTGGTGTGAGCCTGAGCCGCTGGTGGTGGTGGGGCCTTGTCTGTGATGGAAGGGTTTTTCAGGGTCATCAGGACTTGGGGCGTGGATGCCTGGAGTCCATCAGTACCTGAGAGAAGTGGCGCTTCACACCATTACCTCTCCTGCCCTCTCCTCTGAGCAGTTTTATTCTGTCTTGACCACATCTGGAGAGACAGAAACTTGGTCACGAAACTCCCATTTTGCAGACTGGAAGAAAGACTGAGGGCCAAAGACGGGCAGATTAATGGCAGACCTGGAGACAGAGCCTAGTCATCTATTGACTTCAGTGTCCTACTGTGCACGTTCTCCAAACCTGAGTTCTGAACCTTAACTAGCAAGGTGGGAAATCTCAGTCCACAACCCCTGCAACTCTGCTCAGAGATCAAGACCGACCTCTTTAGTGTGATACTCAGAGTTCCTGCCTTTCTTCCCAGTCTGGTGTTATGGGTTACATAACATCCCTCCCACACACCCTAGCCTTCAGACACATCCAACTTGCATCTCCTTAGCTTCTCCAGGCGCTTTATTATTATTATTATTATTATTATTATTATTATTATTATTATTATTTAGACAGAGGGGAAGGGAGAGAGAGAGAGGGCGAGAAACATCAATGTGTGGTTGCCTCCCGCATGCCCCCTACTGGGGACCTGGCCCACAACCCAAGCATGTGCCCTGACTGGGAATTGAACCGGCAACCCTTTGGTTCACAGGGCAGCACTCAATCTGCTTAGCCACACCAGCCAGGACTTCTGGTGCTTTTATACTCCATGTGTTTTCTCCACAAGCAAGGCCCTTCTCTAGTTTTTTCTTTTCTTTAAATCTGGCAAACTCTTATTTGTCCTTTAAGACTTAGCTGAGAAGTCCTTTCCCCGGGAAACTTTCCACTTCCCCCCTAGGAAATTCCTTCAAAGAGAGGGAGTTCCTCAGTATTACAAGAGCCCCTTCTGTTGGTCTCTGCTGTAAAGATTGTGTCAACTTAGAATATGGTCTTGTCCTTTGAGGAGGGACTAGGTCTTCCCACCTCTTTAGCCCGGCATAGCACAGAACATCGTGCAGAGTGTGTGTTAGGGAGAGCTGAACATGTGAATATAAGGTGACCACTCCCACCTTCAAGCCTTGCATGCCTGTATTCAGTCAGTTAGACATATTATGGACATTATGAGGCAGCAGCAGATTAAGTATTGGAGAGTTACTAACGCAGGGTAAAATTAAGGGAAGAAGGAAGTGAGCCCTTCATTTGGGACTGTTTTTTCCCTAAAAGTATTTGCCACTTCCAGAAAGGACAGCTGAGAAACTGAGCAGAGCTTTCTACAAATTTATGAGGCTAGGAGGAGAAAATTTATATAGTTCAAGACCCACTAAGAAAAGGGGACTCTGGTAAACTCCCTCACTCCCCCACTAGGCTTTGGGTCGGGACCATGACAGATTATACCTAGGAGTAAGCAAAAGGAAACAACAGCCCAGCCTTCACAGAAATGATAATAGAAACAATTACATAAAAGATCCAGATAATGAAATTATCAAGTAAACTTTCAAATAACAATGCTTAGTATATACATATAAGACAAGCTTAAGAACTGTAAATTATACAAAAGAATCAAATGAAATTTCTAGAACTTAAAAATACAATATTAGAAATTAAGAACTCAGTGGTTTGTTTAACATCAGCTTGGACACAAATGAAGAGAGAATTAGTGAAGTGGAAGACAGATCCTAAGAAAACATTATAGCATAATATATGTCCTAAGTGCCTACCACGTGGCAGGTACTTTTCTAGGCAGTACCTGACTAGACAGAACGAAAAGGCAGAGTCCCTGTGCTTACAGAGCTGACATTCAAATGGGGGAAACAAATAAAAAGTGGTAATTCCAGATTTCAGTAAATGCTATGAAGAAGTCAAGAGGGTAATGTGAGAAAAGAGACATGTGAAGAGGACATATTCTAGGTACATATTAGAGGAAGACCACTCAGAGGAAATGTTTGCGTTGAGACCTGCAGAACGAGAGGGACCTAAGCATGCGAAACACCTCAGCACACTCCCTGTCCCAGTTTCACAGTGTTCTTTGGTGACTGTCCCCAGGGCTCATCACAGTGTCACACAGGGCAGGTGCTTAATACGTACTTGAACTCAGCGATGGAATGGAATACTGCAAGGATGCAGGGAGAGGAAAGGGGTTGCAGCATATATTACAGGATGATCTGCCCTTCATTTTTCATCCCCACCACACGAAGGCTGTGGTCCGAATGCACCGTAGAGCTCTCCAAGGTAAATCGTCATCCACCTGTCTGTTCATCCATCCATTTCAGGCCATTTATTGATGCCTACTGGCAAGATGAATGAGCGAGGGCCCTTTCCCTGAGGAGCTCATAGTCCAGGAGGGAGACACATACTGAAATCATGACAAAACTAAATAAGAAATGCTATAATGGCAGCAGGGCTATTAGAATGTAGAGTGTAATTCTGCTTGGGGGGAGTGGGAGTATTCATGGAGGAGGGGACATTTGAAGTAATTCTTGAAGGATGGAGGGGGATCTTCCCAAGGGGAAAAGGCAAAGAAGGATGTCCCCATTGGAAGGAGAAGCCTGAGATAGGAAGGAGCATAGCAGTTTCTGGAACACTGAGAAGGGTGGAGGGCAGAACTCATAATATCAAGGCCTGAAATGTCATGCTAGGTGAGGGTTTGATGCAAGCGGGCAGGGATGTGAGTGGGGCAGAGGAGGGAGGCTGGAGAGTGGGGTTTCTATTCTGAAGAAATGCATGGACTTAGAGGACTTCTCTGTCCTTTATTATTTACTTTTCCCTCCTGAGCTGCTAGGTCCTAATCAATTCTTTAGTCCCAAAGGGTCATAACCAATAAGGACCTTTCAGGAAATGACCTAAAAGCAAAGTAGACTACATCTATTCTCAAGAATAAGGACTTCCAGAGACATTTTACTCCAGGGCTGGGGTGTCCTTCCTACAGGTGAGAAACAGGCGTGGAAAGATCCTTGTTTAGAACCTTCCTCCTCCCAGTCCAGGGCCTTTCCACCATTGTCAGGCAGTGGGCATCCACCATGGGACAGGAACAAGAAGAGACCATGCCCTGGCTCGTGTGGTTCGGTTGGTTGGACATCATCCTGCAGACAAAAAGGTTGTGGGTTCGATTCCTGGTCAGGGTATATATGCCTGGGTTGTGGGTTTGGTCCCCAGTTGGGACATGTGCAGGAGACAACCGATTAATGTTTCTCTTCCTCTCTTTCTCCCTCCCTTCCCCTCTTTCTGGAATCACTTAAAAAACAAAAAAGAGGCCAGAGGTAGAGGGAATCCTGGGTGAACTTGGAAGCTGGACAGATTGACCTCCAATGTCCTCCCAAAACTTAAATCTTATGTGAGCCCAGAGACCTAGGAAAAGGTTTTCAGAACCCTTTTAAAATGGGGGTTAGAGAAATATAGATCAGAAAAATAAATAATAGATGAGCGTAGACTCTTGTTTTTATAACTTTGTTTTCAGGAAACACCTTTTAGAAAAAATAATGTGGCAAGGTTATGAGAAATTTAATTTACCCAATAGTCCTGTGAGGCAGGTTTTTATTAGAATCTCTATTTACAGATACGGAAAGTGAGGCTCAGGTAAGTGAAGCACCTTCGGCAGGAACAGCCAGCAAGTGACAGCACCCAGCCTCACAGACTTGTTAAATGATGCTGACCCATAATCTAGTCTCAGTAAATGATAGCTATTATTATTTTCCAAGTTTCTACAATGAAAACATTTATGTTTATAATAAGGCTCTGACTTCTCCCAATAAATGCCATTTAAAAAATAATGAACTGGCCCACCAGGTTAGAGGACTGCCATCAACCTCACACGAATTAGATGTCTGCTGAGTGCCTGCTGCAGAGTATGAGCAGAGCTCTGGGTAAGAGGAAGGTATGTGGCAAGTCCTGATGCCTGGGTAAACGCCAGTTCATGCTTCCCAGCCTTTCTGAGGCAGGAGGCAGTGGACAGAACATGGCAGGTCTCATGAGGCCAGAGCCCACTGCCTCCCATACTGTTGGTCCTTGCTGAAGGAACACAGGCAAGGTGACAGTATAAGGTTGCTAGTCCCCTGACCATAGCTTCAAGCCCCAAAAAACACTTGGCCCCCAGCATGACCTCAGACTTTCTCATCTCATACATGAAGCCTCAGAGAACTCTGGAAGCAGCTCAGCAGTAAGAGAACTTTCCCGCCTCTCACTTCCAGTCACACTCTCACCTGAACCCCTTCCTTGGCGGTGGGCATGTACCACTGGCACCTTGGCGCATTTTGCCTGCCTGTTTTGCTAAAGTGGGAGCATCTAGAAAGAGCTGAGACTCTTGGGACAGACAGTTCTGGGTTTTAATCTACTTCTACTGCTTTCTACCTGCATAGTCTTAAGCAAGTCACCTCACTTTCTGAGCTTTGGTTTTCTCATCTGTAAACTTCCTAATGTTGGCAGCAGGCACTTGGAAGGCACTCTTTAGTTGGTAGCTCCCTTCAGCCTCCAACTGGTGTGCAAAGAATGCTCAGTTAGTCTTCCGGATACACCAAGGTTGTGGTTCACCTGGTTAGGGCACATATATGAAGCAACCAGTAAATGCATAAATGGCAAATCTGCCCTCCCCTGAATGCAGATTAGAAAGTCAAATGGAAAATGTAAAAAAGTGCAGTCTGAGACATGCAGAGAAAGGTTTTTGGTGGTTAAGCTCAGGCATAAAGAAGTAGGCTCCTCAGAATCACAGAAATGATCACATGGAGGGTTACAGCGGGGGAGTGGGAGGAGGAGAGAGGGGAAAAAGGTACAGAGAATAAGTAGCATAAATGGTAGGTAGAAAATAGACGGGGGGGGGGGTTAATAATAGTATGGGAAATGTAGAAGCCAAAGAACTTAAATGTACAACCCATGAACATGAACTAAAGTGGGGGAATGCAGGTTGGAGGGGGTGTGCAGGGCGGAGGGGAAAAAGGGGGGGATGGGACAACTGTAATAGCATAACCAATAAAATATATTTTTTAAAAAAGAAGTGGGTTCCTGAAATCAGAAGTCATAGAACCCCAGACCATCACAGCTGAAGACTGAGGAATAAAGATAATGACAGTTCAAAGTAAGAAATGCTTCTTAAAACTTACTCTGCATGGGTGTTGAGACAAGTACTTTGCATTATCTCATTTAATCCTCACAGAAACTCTGTAGGATGGGTATTATCCCCATTTTACAGATGAAGAAACTAAGGTGAATAACTTGCCCAAGAACACACACAGGTCAGGGGCCGGGACTCCTGAGGCCAAAGTTCATGCTGCATGCTCTTAAATGAACTGCTTAGTTGCTCTAATCTAATCTCACACCTTAATTTTACAGATGAGGCTCAGGGATAGGAAGTGTCTCACCTAAACTTTCACACAAAGGAACTGTATAATTTGAGCGTCCCTGCAGAGTGCCATCCAGTCAAGACGTTTGCAGAGATATTCAGATTTAATAAATATTTATTAAATACTTGCATCATTTCAATTCATGTTCAAAATAGCCCCCACCAAATACTGATTAGATGGGGAACAGGCTCGGAGGGATAATTTCTCCAAATATCAATTTAGCATAACTACGGCATTCTCATCATTGCACATTCAGGTCCAGAGGCTTCCAGCAGCTTCATGATGCCAATCCTAGTTTATCTACTTTCTGGACCTCCAGGTGGTATAAAGTACCTTTCGTTTCCATAGACCTTGAGTACGCTCAAAGCGGTGGATTCTGGGATTTACAGTACCCCTGCGAAGATTAAAGTCTGTGGACCAATAGAATTTGAGCACGGACGGCTGTACTTGCCTCCGCTGACTTTAGCTTCTCAGACACCCCCTCGAATTAGCCAATGAGAGGCGGATGGGTCCTGGTCGCCTAGGAAACCGCGTGACAACAAGATGGCGCCGCGGGACTGCACAGTGGGCCTGCGTGGTGAGTCCCGACCTAAGGCCTTTCTGCTCGCGGGGTACCCCACGCATGCTGGGGCCTCGCCTCAAAAGTCCCGAAGGCCTCACTCCTCCAGCGGCCTGGCTACCCCAGCAGGACCCCGGCGTTCTGGGATCGGATTCGGGCCCTTGCCTACCATGGCTACGCGTGGAGGCGGGAGGCAGCGACGCGGCTCCCAGGGCGCGCGGTTAGGTGGTGAAATACGGCTCTCCCAGAGCGCTTCCAGCTGGGTACCTAGGGCTTACAACTTTCCGGGGCCTGTAGGCGCTGGAAAGCACCGGGGCATGGGGGAAGCCAACAGGTCGAATAGGTGTGACGAAAGATGTCAGTCAAGCACAGTTCTGAACTTGGGTCCCAAAGGTGTAGAGGCATAGGACACTTCTTTCCCCTCAAAGCCCAAGCTTTAAACGAGAGACAGTGCAACCGTAAAGCGTCCCAGGTCCGAGAGAGGAGACAGAGTTTGCCCCTGGAAGCCCCCCAAGTGACATGGCTCTATCCGTAGGGACCCCGGGTCTGAGGGAGTAGGAGAGACACATCCCTGTGCTCAGGAGTCCCCAGACTGATGGAAAGACACAGTCGTCGTACTCAGGGGTCTCCTATAATCCATGGGAACATTGATCTGGAGACATTGTGTTGGATTAGCCTGGAGTGAAACTGGAAAAAGAGAAGTCAATTGTGGGCAATTGTGACAGCCCCAAAGAAGGACACTGAAAGCCCCACTATGATGGCCAACAGTGGGCATACAAAGGAATACCTAGGTGTGAGAGGGGTTGCAGAGTTTAACCTGCAGGGTGTGGTACCTGATGGGATGGGATTAATAGGAAAGGAAGAAGAGAAAATTTTTGTGGTTGGATGATTGGGTCCCATTAAGATGGGGGAAGTAGGAAGAACTTTGTTTTGAGGAAAAAATGTTGGGTTTGGTTTGGGAATCAGCTCCTTTCCTTCTATGATTGCTTTATTGAAATATAATCCACACCTTTAAAATGTAAAGTTCACTAGTTTTTAGTATATTTATAGAATTGTGCGATCATCACCACAATTTTAGAACTTTCCATTAGGCAAAAAGGACTCCCTGCACACTTCAGCCGTTACTGCCCATTTACTCCACAGCTGCGCCCAGCCCTAGGCAACCACTAATCTACTTCGTTACTGTATGAAATGCACATTCTGTATATTTCATATAAATGGAAGAGTAACAATATGTAACCTTTTGTGACTAACTTCTTTTCCCTCAGCACAATGTTTTCAAAGGCCATTCACACTGTAGCATGGACAGTGGTACCTTGGTACTTGTCATTAGTTCTGAACTCGTGGAGAGTGCTGGAACCAATGACCACCCAACCATGAAGCATTTTCTTTTGTGGGACAGCATCGTGACTCACACAAGTTGTAGCAAGTGCGATGAGTCCCTAGCAAGCACCAAGTGCTGAAACATTTTTTGTCATCAAAATGTGACAAGTACAGGGTTTGACAGGTTTTGAAGCCAACAAGTACCAAGATATGACTGTACTTCATTCTTTTTTATTGCCAAATAATATTCCATTATAAGAATATACCACATTTGTTTATTGGTTGATCGACATTTGGGTTTATACTTTTTTAGCTGCTATGACTAATGCTGCTGTGAACATGTGTGGAGATAACTTTTATTTCTCTTGGGTATATGCCTAGGCATGAAATTGCTAGGCCATGAGGTGTGCTGAATCTTTAATTGAATTGCCAGACTGTTTGCCTCTGCAGCTGCACCATTTTACAGTTCAACAAATTACAGTCCGATTTCCCTACATCCTCACCAAGACTTAATTTCTGTCTTTTGTCTAGTTTCTTTTTTTTTAAGATTTTATTTATTTTTAGGCAGAGGTGAAGGGAGGAAGAAAGAGAGGAAGGGAAACATCATTGTGTGGTTGCCTCTCATGTACCCAACAACCAGGGACCTGGCCTGCAACCCAGGCATGTGTCCTCACTGGGAATTGAACCAGTGACCCTTTGGTTTGCAGGCTGGTGCCCAATCCATGAGCCGCACTAGCCAGGACTGTCTAGTTTCTTTTGAGGGGTCATTGTGGTGACAAAAGTTTGGAGGAGGAAGGGGTGATCAAGTGTGGGGGGAGTTTATGCCCAGTAGTTTTAGTCACTAAATGCACAGTGTCTGGGACTTTTTAGAGTAATAAAAATGTTCTAAAATTGATTGTGGTGATGATTTCACTCTTTGATATTGATTAAGAACCATTGAACAGTGCCCTTTACAAGGGTTTAGTATGTGAACTATATCTCACTAAAGCTGCTTTCTTTTTCTGTTTTTAGCTCACATGTTGTATGATTCCATTTATATAACCTTCTTGAAGTAGGAAAATTGTAGAGATGGAAAATGGAGCCGTGATTGCCAGGAGTTAGAGGTGGTGGAGAGGGGAGGCACGTGTGACTCTAAAGGAGTAGCGTGAGGGAAGTCTTCATGTGACAGGACAGTTCTGTGTCTTGACTACGGTGGCAGTTCCATGAAGCTGCACATGGATGACAGGGCGTGGAAGGATGCACGCATATAGTGACGTAAAATGGGGGGGATCTGGGTGAAGGAAACACAAGACCTTTCTGTACTATTTTCCTATGAATCTATAATAATTTTAAAGTAAAAAGTGAAAATACGCGTCTAACTAAAGAACAAACAAAAACAGACTGAGAAAAGAAAAAGGAATCGGCCCAGTCCAGGGAAGGGTGTGGCTGGCAGCAGGGAGACTGTTCCAGGAGCCGAGCTCCAGGCTGGCGGCCATGCGCACAAAGGCCTGGTGCATCTGAGGCCAGGCTGGCAGCTCCGAGCTGCTGAAGGGTGGAAGGAGGAGAGGAGCAATGAGGTCAGGAGACACGGGCTGGGACCAGATCATTTAAGTTAAGGAAATTTGAACTTTTTTCTGTGGGTAAGAAGGAGCCACTGGGAGTTTTTAGCAGGGACACGTCAGCTTTGTGTTTAAGATCCTTCTGACACCATTTGTAAATTGGTAAAGGAGCCACAAGGGATTGTCACACTTGGCCACAAAACCATGAGAGTGCCCAGACAAGACAGCAGGGCCTGGGGCAGGACAGGGACAGATTTGGGAGGCTGGATAGAGGGTATGAGGAAACTCTGGACCTGGTCTTTAGAGGGCTCCTCTGAGTCCCAGGCTCCTGAGTGAAGACAGAGGGGCTGCCTCCAGGCGGCACGGTCCCCAGCTCCACAGCCGCAGGGGCAGGCTGGAGCCACACCTCTCCACAGTGGAACAAAAGCCTCAATTCAGGCTCTGGCGGAGGTCCTTTGGTTCTAGAGTTTATAGATATTATTAGTCACATAATATACTATTTAATTAGCTGAATATAGTAGTGGCTTTTGGTTACTTTCCTGATGTGCATTCATCTTTCCACCAGGAAGAGAGAAGGAAGGGAAACCAACAAAAGCCAAAGCTGTATTTCCCATTTTTAAGTGCCTCCTTTGCGCAAGAAAGTTTCAGACTACTTCCTTGTCCTGAGGAAATGCTCCCAAGGACTGACTTCCTTCTTTCCACTCAGGGAGTTCCTGACAGCTAGAGTCTAGAAGAACTATGAGCTCACCTTTGGCCTCCCTTGGCAAGACCCGGAGAGTGCCCCTGCAGTCAGAGTCCGTGAATTCAGGGTAGGAGGCCAGCCGCCGGGGCCTTGGCGTCCGTGCCCCTGCCTCCTCCTTGCCCCTCCTGTGGACTATGAGAATGAGTGTCTTGGGGAGAACACTAAGGAGTCGTGTAGCTTTCCCTGACCACCTCATCTCTCTGTACCGTCTGGGAGGCTCTACGTTGTGGTGCCAAGCACACACTGGGTGGTGCCTGATAGTAAGGTCTGGGCTCCGTGGGAGTGGCTTAGCATGCATCTACTTACTCATTCTCATTCATTCTGCAAACGCTGACAATGCACCTGGTCTGCGCCCCGCCACGTGCCAGATTCACTCAGGTGTAAGGGAGTCCTTTACATCTGTCTAGCACTTTCATCTTTTCAAGTGCTTTTTTTTTAACCTCTCTTCTGCACATCACTTGAGTCATTTGAAGGGGATCCAGAGTGGTTGAGTGACGGGTCTGGGATCCCACGGCCATTTCAAAGCAGAGCTGGGGCTGGACTCCTTGACTTGGGGATCCTTGTCTTCCAGCCAAGACTCTACGCTTCAGATCTTCCCCATCCTTCTGCGTTGGGAGGAGTTGCATACCTTTCTTTTTTCTTTCTTGTTTTTGTTTTTGAAGATTTTATTTATTTATTTTTAGAGAGAGGGGAAGGGAGGGAGAGAAACATCAGTGTGTGGTTGCCTCTTGTGCACCCCAGTCGGGAACCTGGCCCACAACCCAGGTATGTGCCCTAACTGGGAATCGAACCGGTGACCCTTTTGTTCGCAGGCTGGCACTCAATGAGTTGAATACCTTGAAGCCTGCCCCTTGTCTTGTCCCAGTGCCAGGATGGGCTTTGGGGGTGGATATCCTCAGGAGGCAGAGGCCCAACCTCCATCTCCTTAAGGCTTGGCTAGGGGGTTGGAGCTTAGGGCCTCTCCCTTGGTGACATTCCAGGGTGTTCTAACTTGTCTGCCTTCCTTCTCCTTCCTGCCCGGTTTCCCAGGAGGCGAGGGATAAAACTCTATGGAGACGGTAAGTGAGGGCCCTGCCCTCATCTCTTCCTCACCTTCCATCTGCCGCGTCTCCCTGTGGTTGGGCAGACGGAGTGAAAGAACACGGTGAACACTTCTGTCAGCCAGAGCGGCAGGCCCAGCCCCAGTTTGACCTGCAGCTGCCATCCCTTCCTGAGGACAGGGCTTCCTCCCGGCAGCTCTCAGTAGGAGGGCCCACACCCTTAGCAGAGATGCCTTCACTAACGTTAGAACTCCTCCACCCCTGTGCAGTTGGCTGGTGAGTGCTGAGAATCCATGAGGGGCCAGAGCCCAGCCCTCCTTCCCCTGACAACCCCCTCCAACCCATAATAGGTTTTCCTCCCCGAGGCCCTGTCCTCACATCGCTATTCTGAGTCCTGCAGACTCAGATCTTTGCATCCCAACCCCACTCTTGCCCCCACTGTGGGGCTGGTATTGCTCATTCAGGAGCCAGGCAGGGAGAACGCTGAGAAGAAGCCTGTTCTGTTTGGATTCTTGCTCACCAGCATCCCCAGTATTCTGTCCTCCTGTGTTTGGGGGACACAATACAGGCTGTTCTGTCTTGGCCAGGGCCCAGAGCCCCCACTTTACTCTGGGCCTTAGCGCCAGTGCAGTGACCTGGGCATCTTGTCTGCAGAAAATGAGGTGGACTTGCTGAATGATGGACAGGGCTCAGAAGAAAGGATCTCCGTCCCTTCCTGCTATGGCGGCATAGGTGCCCCTGTGAGTAGGCAAGGTGAGAGCAGAGGCCTACAGGGGTCTGGGTTCCCGGCAGCAGGAGAGGGCCCCAGGGAAGGAGAGAGGCTCAGAGGGGCATGGCACCTACCCCCCCGCCTGCTGGGTCTGAGGCAGCTGCTCCCACTTCTGGCTGCCAATGGCTAGATACCTGTACCCCAAAACCTGTCCAAGGCCCAGTTTGGCATAAAGCTGTGTGGGCCCCACCCTTAGGTCAAGAGGGCCCCAGGCCAGGCTTTGTCTAGTGGAGTCACCATCGAGTGTGACGTCAGCGGGTCCAGGATCCAGGGTCAGAGGAATGAAGGGCCTGAGAGTGAAGCTCTGCCTTCAGCCACCTGCTTCCAGCTCTGCAGGGCTCTGGGCAGGTCCCCGAGTCCACAGGATAGCCTTCCTCGCCTGGCCCAGAGCATCCCTGAAGGGCTGTGGTGGCACTCCGGTCCTGTAGGCACCTAACGTAGGATGGGGCTCATCAGGGCGACTTCCCAGAGCAGGCAGGATTGATCAGGCTTGGGCAAAGGGGAGACTTGGGCAGACAGGGTGAGCTGTGCAGAGTTGCTGAGCAGGGTCAGAGTCTGAGTCGGGAGTCTGGAGGAAAGAGCTGGGGATGAGGTTAGAAGTGGCTGCTAGCTGCGTATCGCGGATAAACCCCTTCCCATCTCTCTCCGTCCCTTTCCTCCTCTGTGAAGTAGGAATGGGAACTCCTAGGTCAGCATGTTGAGGTGAGGATTCAGTGGGGGGCTCCTCCACCAAGCACTCATCCACTTAATGGGCAGGGAGGAGAGCTGAGGGAGACAGAAAGAGCCTGGCCCCAGAGCCATGCAGTCGCAAAGCCAGAATCTCCTTCAAAGCAGCTGGGGACACTGGCAGCAGTAATCCCAGTGGGCAGCTCCTCCCCTCAAAGAGCCTTGAGCATGCTCTCTGCACCGCTCACCTGCCGTTCACCCCTCACCCCCGCTCAGCCAGTGTCTGTACCCCTGAAGCTCTCGCTGGTCCCATCTCACTGCTCTGCACAGCAGCGTCCCACATGGCAGGTTCACCGTTCCCTCCTCCTCAGAACACCCAGGCTCTTGGCCGCCATGACCACGCTACCTGATGTCTTCCTGCCTCCCAGGTTTTTCCCTGAGCACTCTTTGCTAGCTCCGTATTCTCCCGGCTTTTCGGTGTGACCTCTGGCCGGGGTTCTCCTCTCTCTTTCCTCTCTGCCTCAGGTGGTGAGCTCATACACCTGCCTGCATCTCTGTGCTGGCACTCCCAAATGCCTGTGTGTCAGTTGAGAAGCTTTTAACTACAAGTCAGAGAACGCCCTCCCTTAGCTGGCATGGACTATGAAGGAGGGCTTATTGGTCCACATCCCTAAGGAAGCAGCCCAAGGGTTGTTAGTGCAGCACCTCAAAGGCACCCTCACAACTTCAGGTTCCTCCATCTTGCCCCTGCTTCCCTTGGCCCGCCAGCCCCACGCGGCCGCAGGGTGGCAGCTGCAGCTCCGGCCTTACACTTAGAAAGACAGCAACCCCGGGGAAGAAGAGCGCCTGCCTCTTCCCATGTCTCTCTCTTGTTTTTTTTTCCCCCTCAAGCTTCTTAATTTGAAATCTTTCTAGCATATAGGAAAGTTGACACAATAGTACAGTGAACACCCCTAGGCCCCTCATCTGGAAGCACTTAGTGTCATTTTGCCACGTTTGCTTTCTCTCCATACACACGGATATGAATGGGAATGTATTTCCGGATGAACCATTCAGAAGTCGGTCACAGACGGCACGGCATTCCACCTCTGGATTCTCCGGCGTGCATCTCCCAGGCGCGAGGAGACACGCAGCCCAGTGCCGGGATCACACCCGAGAGCGTGCAACACTCAGTCACACTCTCCGGCATCTCTTCTGTCCTCACGTGTCCCCAGTTCCAAAATACGTCTCAGTTCTCCTGATCCGGGTCAAGGGTCATGTGCTGCTTTTGGTTGTAACACGTTTGTAAAACAGTCCCTGCCTTTTCGAAGAGTGGCGCTGACTTTCTGAGGAGTTCAGGCCCCTGTCTTGCAGCGTGTCCCACGCTGGGTCTGTCTCCTGTTCAGCTTGCTCCTCCACCCTCCCTCTCTCCTGTGACCTGGGCCTGAGGTCAGAGGTTTGATTTGACTGAGGCGGAACTTTCTGAAAGTGCTTCAGGCAGTGTGACCCATATGTCTCACCACTTACTCCGCACACCTCAAATGACTGGATGTCTCTGCCTCAGTTTCCCATAGCAGTTCACTTCCTCACAGGCATGTTGTGGGGATTGCAGAAGTTGATACATGAAAAGTGTTTGGCGTGGTCCCTGTTATGTAGGTGACAGCTGTTGTTATTACTCTTATTTCCACTCCTGGGGACCCCGCTCCCTCTCCCCTGGACCCCACGCCTCAGCCTCAGCTCTAGACACGAGCTCTCGGACTTTGTCTGGTTGGCAGACCCCACGGCCCACAACTCAGAGCTGCTGGCCACCATGACGATGAAGGTGCGGGACCTGGAGCGGCAGGTGAAGGCTCAGACTGACGAGATGCTGTCCAAGGTGGGACCCCTCTCCCAGCGGGGAGGGGGCCAGGGTCCGGTCCGAAGGGTGGAGGGGTCCGGGCAGGTGTGGCCAGTGCTGCCACTGCAACAGGCCAGGGTGAGCGGGTGTGGGAACCACCCGCACACCAAACTGCCTGGTCCGAGGGCCAGGAGCGGCCCGGGACTGATCAGGTCACAGGGGTGACCTGAGCAGAGAGGCTGGGGGCATTCTCCTCAGCGGAGCAAGGAAGGCCCTTGGGCCTCAGAGTGGATGGCAGCAGTGACTGCTGGGATCTAGGGCACTTGGGGGGCCTCCACGCCTTTCCCCCCGCCTCCGTGGAACCACAAGGATCACCTGAGATGCCGGAGCAGAGGCTGTGCCAAAGTGGGGGCAGGGGCTTTAGGCTCCCTAGTGCCCCCACAGAGGCAAACATGCTGGATCTTCCCTTCTGGAAGGGGCTCCCCTGGGCTCTGGGAGCTCCAGGCCTGTCTGTACCCCCTCGCACGTCTCGTTGCTGCAGGATCGGAAGATCCGGGCCCTGGAGAAAATGGTGGAGACCCTGCAGGAGAACGAGGGTAAGAGGCGGCCGTCTCCGTGGGCCGCTTGGCCCTCCTGTCGCACCTCCCCTGGGCCACTGGCCCCTCGGCACCAGGGCTCCAAAGCATCAGGCTGAGTTGTTGCGGGGTCTGGACAGCTGAGCACAGAGAAGGGCAGAGACACACTGAGGACGGTGCCCTCCTGTGTGGGACTGGGTCCCGAGAGTGTAGGCGCAGCCCAGCCCTGAGCACACGGCGCTCCACTGAAAATGTGGAGGAAACGCAGCCTCCTCAGGAAACTTGCTCCAGGGGGACGGCGACCTCCTCAGTCAGGAGGGCATCCCCTGTCGGGGTCAGGAGGAGAGACTAGAAGCGGTTCTCAGGGGATCCCTCAAGTTCTCAAGGGACAGCTGCCTCAGATGACCCTCCAGGCAGACCTCTGGTCGAGGTAGCCTGGCAACCCCCAGGCCGGGGCAGCGGAACCCCTTCCCATCTCTCCAGAAGGTCAGGCGTCCCTGCAGCGGCAGGAGGAGCTGGAGACCATGTGCATGAAGCTGCAGCGGCAGGTCGGGGAGATGGAGGTGAGCGGGGCAGGGGCCAGGGCTGCCTGCCCCTCGGCAACGGGGTCAGAGCCCGCCTCGTGGGGTCCCCTCGTCCCACTTCCCACCCCTGGGCCCTGCTCTGGTCTCCCTGCTCAGGGCGAACCTGGAGGTGAGAGAGTCGGAAAGGGGTCCGGGCGGGGCACACTCCTTTCCGCCCGCCCGGGCCTCCTCTTCAGTTTCCTCTCGAGTTTCACCTTGAGCAGCTCTCCCCTCCAGCCCCAGGCCCTGCCTCTGGTTCTTTGACCACACTGAGCCCTTTCTCACCTCAGAACTTTGGCCCATGCCGATCCTTCTGCCTGAAATGTACCCCCCCCGCCCCCCCGGTGAGTTTTCACTCATCCTCAGTCTCAAATCAGGTGGGGCCCTTCCTCAGGAGCCCCTCTCGGACTCGGACCAGGGCAGGCCCTCTGTCCTGCGCTTCCTCAGTGCCTTGCCTCTCCCCTTGGGACGGGAACTCCGTTGGGGGGGGGGGGGGCGCTTTCCTCCCGTTTGTTCGCTGTTGCTCGCCCAGGACCTGGCGTGGCTCCCGTCCATGTGTGTTCACAGATGGGTCACGGCTATGCCCTGCCTCTGACTTTGGCATCTGAGTCCCCCTGGGTCACTTCCCTTGCCCCCATTCATACAGCAAACCTCGGACAGGAAGGGCCCTATGTTTAAGGGAGGGTCCCGGGGGACACGCTTTGTCGGTGCCCCTCGCTTCCGTGCTGGCCCCAGCAGAAGCTCTTCCTGGGGTCTGACCCCTCTCCCTGTGCAGGGTTGTGTTCCAAAGCCCCAACCGAACTTAAGACCACAACAGCAAACCCCTAAGCTGCGGCTGCAGCTGAGGGCCCTCCCCACGACCACACCCCCCACCTGATTGTACCTGGGGCTGTGGGGAAGCAAAGCGCTGCTCCCCGAGCGGCCTGCTGGGAATGCCGGCAGCCTGGGCCGGCCGAGGGGGTCCTATGCAGCCCCTCTGTTCACAGTGCTCACACACTTACTACTCCGTTAATGTAACAAACTCATAAGAGGTATCTCCTGTGTCCCAGGCTTTGGCATGTAGATGTGGCCCCTGCCCTCGTGAGACAAGTCTGGAGGGGACAGAGACATGAGCAAGCGCACGGAAAATAGCACACGTGCAGAGAGATGATGAAATATTCAGTGGGCGGCCCAGCAGAGACTAGTTGGGGTTTGTTCCACTCTGTGGGGTGGTACTGAACAAGAAGTCTAGCTTGGGGGTGCCAAACTCAATTTCCACCGGGGGCCACATCAGCCTCGCAGTAGTCATCAAAGGGCCGAATGTAACTTTAGGACTATGTCAGTGTAACTACTCCTTAACAGTTAAGGGAGAGCTTGGCACTGCTGCCAGGTAGAAACAAGGTGCTGGGCCGGATAAAACAAGGTGGAGGCTGGATTCAGCCCGAGGGCCTTGTGTTTGCCACCTGTGCTCCAGAGGCTACAAGGGGACTGGGGAAAGAGCTTCTAGGCCAAAGATGAAAAGCTCCACCTGTCACCACAGAAACTTGGCTTATGGTGGGGTGTTTGTGGGAGCAAGAGGGAGAGCGAGAAGAGGCTGCAGGAAGCACGTGACGGGGGCAGGGGGCAGGGGGGACCACCCACCGAGGGAGGTTGGATTCGGTTCTGCAGGAATTGGGAACCACAGGAAGGTTTCAGTTAGAGGGGATGGGGGAAGGTCGGTAGAACCTCTGAGTTGTCCAGGAGGGAGATGACCGAGGAGACCTGAACGAGAGCGGCGACAGAGGAGGCAGTCGAGTGGATGGATCTGAGCCTGCTTTGGCGTTGGCGCCCACAGGTGTTGAAGATCCTGGGGAGGCAGAGAGAGGAGTGGGTCATGGATGAGGCCTGGGCGGAAGGGGTGCCGTGGAGGACGGCGGGAGACCTGGAGTGCAGGAGGTTTGGAAGGTAGGGGCAGGGAGTGGTGACTGTTTGGGTCAAGTTCACTTCGAGCTTCCTATTAGACATCGAATCGTAGATGGCAGGAAATGTGAAACTGAAAACAGTGCGTGTTACGGGGGATAAAGACAAACCTGCTGGGTCTGGCACCGGGCAGGTTGGTGGTGGCTGCACATAAGCAGTGGATAGAGGGGAGGAAGGGAGAGGGGGCGCCAGCAAAGGAAGTGTAGACAATTCAGAAGTTTTCCTGTGGCAGAGATGTGAGCCCCAGCCCCAGGGAGGCCGTGAGGGGGTGGCTACGCCCCCTCAGTCCTACGGAGTGGGGTGTCCCTGCCCCTCGGACTCAGGCCAGACCCATGTGGTTTCCCACCACTGCAATGGCTGCCTTCAGCGAGTTCTTGTGCCGGCTCTATGCTAGGTGCTTGACATGAATTATCTTGCCGAGTCCTCCTCACAAGCCTGTGGTGAAGGCACTGTCATCTCCACTGTATAAGGAGGAGCCTGAGGCTGTAGGAGGTGAAGTGGCTTCCCAAGTTCACAGCCAGAAGGTGGCCAAGACCCCTGGGCTTGTCCCCTCTGCCCAGTCGGCTCTGGGACCTGAGGCTGGGGCTTGGGCAGATGCCTCCTCTTTCCTGGGAACTGACTGAGCTGACAGTGCCCCTGGCATCTCCCTCCCCAGCGGTTCCTCGGTGACTATGGCCTGCGCTGGGTGGGTGAGCCCACGGACCAGGAGGACTCGGAGGACAGCACAGGCTCAGAGGACGACAAGAGGGACTGGATGAAGGCCAACAAGTTCTGGAAGCCAGGTAGAGTAGGGGGCTCACCCCAGCCCCTCCCACAAAAGGAATTCGGCAACAGCTTCCTTTCAGCCGGAAGCCGTCCAGAGGCCACGTCTCATTCACACGCCTGCCTCCAGGCACGGGGTGTTTTGAGACGCCCCACACCTCGCCACGGACACGGGGCAGGCGGGAAAGGCCTTGGCCTGCATCGCTGACCCCTAACCTGCCACCACTTTCTTCCTCTGGTCTCACGTCAGACTCTCTCTCTGCTCGCTCGTCTCTCAAAGACCCAGAGGTATAAGCTGTAACAAGACCTAATTTTTCTCAGGCACCATAGTTTATAAAATGCCATCCATCTAAAAGCTATTGCCTTCAAAAGCAGTCCCTCTGCTTTGGAAGCTGGACCCCTCTTTGGGTCCCTTTTCATGTTCCTTTATAGCCAGACTTGAAATCTACCTGCTTCTGTGAGACTTACCACTTAAACAGAAATGAGAGAGGAAGGAGAAACACTGGTGGTTGTCCCACTTACTCATGTGCTCACCGGTTGCTTCTTGTATGTGCCCTGACCTGGGATCAAACCTGCAGCCTTGGCGTGTCAGGACCGAGCTCCCCGGCCAGGGCACCACTTTTTGTTTTTACTTCGACTGCTCGTATCTCGAGGCCTGCAGCCCGTGGATAATGGTTTGTAGGTCTGAACAACTGGCCGTATCCGAACGCTAGGTCCATTCTTTTGAAAGAATGGAGGTGGTTGCCTCCATTCAGCTCTTAGCTCTTCTGCCAAAAGAATGACATGTTTTCCATTTATAGCCACTTTTCCTCCTGGGACTCCCCTCTCTCCTTGTTTCCCTGCATCCTCCCCGCTCTACCTTGTCCCCAGATAGCAGACTGCTCCTGCCCCAGGGGCCCCTCGGATCCACAGAGCTGGCCTCTTGCCTGTCCTGCTGCTACGGTTCTTCCTCTGTGGGGTGGATACCAGGCCCCACGGGCCCTGGGGCACCCGGCCATCTGTACTGGGGCTGATTAAACGTTCCAGAGCTTGGACTCCTGCCTTAGGGAAGAGGACCCAGCAGCAGGGAGAGCCTTTCAAGGGTTTGGCCTCAGGCTGGATGATTCACCCCTTCCCACCCGTATATTGAGCCTCAGACGGGATGTGTGCCAGGTGCCTCAGGGTGTTCAGAGACAGGGAGGGGACAGGCCTGTTCTGGTCACAACAGGTATTGAGCCTCAGGGCTGAGTTCCTCACTACTTCCCTGTCCCCCTCTGAGCTCCTCACTACCCCTTCTCTGTCCCCCTCTGAGCTTCTTCCTACCTCCTGCCCTGGCCCCCTCTGAGCTCCTCACTACCCCACACCCCTGTCACCACTGAACTCCTCACTTCCGCTACCTTTCCTCAAGGTCCTGCCCTCCTACATCTCCCCCTCACCCTGCCAGCCACCTCCTGCCCTGTCACCCTTCTCCCCAAGCCCTGGGCTGCTGTGTTTGGGTGGGGACCTCCTCCCTTCCCTGCACAGTAAGCCGTGCTTGCTCCACGGGCTGCAGCAGCTCCACTTGTCCGTAGGCTGCCCTCAAGCCCCTGGAAATGGCTTGACCTAGACCCCAAGCAGGCTAGCTCTTCCCCTCACTTGCCACCCCTCAGGCCAGTTCTATGTCCCCTGAAGTGCCTTGCCCCCTTTTCTCTCCTTTTGAAGCTCAGCTAGAACCTGACCGGCCTCAGCAAATGCTCATGGAGCGCCTGCTCTGGGCCAGGCGTGTGCCACCTACACCACCACCACCGCACACGGGAAGGGGCTGTGCATTAGAGTCCTCCTCTGTGAAATGGTGGGCCCCTAAGGCTGCCAAGAGCAGCAAACACCATAGTGCATGTGGAATGTTCCTGCAGGCCGATGCTTCATGGCCATGAGCCATTGTTGCGTAGCCCTGTGATGTCCCGGAGTGCTCAGCACAGTGCTTTGCCCCTAGGCCGGGGCCTGTGCACATACACGTGACTGGTGGGTGGCACCCAGGCACCCAGGCCTGGGTAATCAGAGCACACTGGGGCAAGTGGGCGGCAATGCTCGGCAGCAGGGGCCACAGATTTGTTTGTGGCCCTTGCAGAGCAGAGTGGATGTAGGTGAAGTCCTCAGAGCAGGGCGTGACTTGCAGGTTTGTGGAAATAATGGGTCCATTTCCTGTTCAACAGCCTTTACTCGAGGTGGTGGGGACGGGCCGTGCTGGGGTGTTCTGGGCACTACCTTGACATTTCACGGTGAAGATGGTGCTCCCAGCAGAGGTGCCAGGAACCGTTCTAGTGCAGGCCCGCCACTCCCCTGCTGGTAGTGGAGAGGGGCGGGGTGCCGAAGCCCCCACAGTGGCACTTACTACATGCCACTGTCACTGTTTGTCACCCTGTCTCCTTCACTCAAGTACAAGCCCAAGGAGGACAGGACTCTGGGTATGGGCATAGCTGTGGTCCTCTGGGCCTAGCAGAGAGTGGGTCCTCCAGATGTATTTGCTGGATGGCAGGACAGAGGGACATATCCAGTGCAGCCTTCTTGAGCAGCCACCCTTGGCCAGGCCTGGGGCTGGGTGCTCTAGCCTGGGTTCAAGAAGTATGTAGTGTGGTTGGAAAGTCAAACAAACAAAATGACAACAGCCTGTTGACAAGGACCAAGGAAGTAGCTCAAGGGCTCCAGAAACCCAGGAAGAACAGGGGCCCAGCCTCAGGGGGTGAGGCTGTTAGCAAGGCCCCTCAGGGCAGGTGCCAAAAGGACAGGCTGAGCCCAGCAATGAGCAAGAGGATGGAGTTAGTGACAGCAAGTTAGCGGCCAGGCACTTCCTCACAGCGACCCTGTGAAGTGGGGACTGTTACTCTGATCTTATAGAAGAGGAAGCCGAGGCCCAGAGAGGTCGGCCCACTTGCCCAGGGTCACACAGCTTGGAAGCAGCAGCCTTGGCAGTGTGTCTCCAGAGTGTGAAGGGGGACCACATTGAGGGGAGGCTGGGAGTCCAGGCTCTGAGGGTCTCCAGAGTTGGGCCAAGGAGTCTAGACTTGATCTCCATGCCTGCCTACTACTATTTTCAATAAAGCCATGGGCCCTCAAAGTTGAATGAGGCCTCAGAGAGGACCTTGCTGCACTGCACGTCTCCTTGGAATGGGACGCCAGTGAGCGGTGTCCAAAGAACCAGCTCTGAAACCAGCCTGTGTGCTCGCTGGGAACAGAAGCTTAGTCCTGGCTGGTGCAGCTCAGGGGACCTAGCACCGGCCTGTGAACCGGAGGGTCACCGGAGGGTCGCTGGTGGATTCCCAGTCAGGACACATGCCTGGGCTGTGGGCCAGGTCCCCAGTGGGGGGCATGTGAGAGGCAACCACACATTGATGTTTCTCTTCCTCCCTTCCCCTCTGTCTAAAAATAAATAAATAAATAAAATCTAAAACAAAAAAAGGAACAGAAGCTTAGAGTCACCTGGGTCCTGCAAGCTCCAGGCCCCGGGCACGTTGCCTCGTGAGGCCCAATCTCCCCGATCTCCCGTCTGTAAAACGGGAGTGGCAGCGCCGTCTCCAGAGCTCAGATGAAGTAAACACTGAGTCATCACTACAGTGGGCGGGATGGCGGTTCCTGTTAGCCACCCATTGCACAGGAAAGGAAAGCCGCGGCTCAGATGGCGTGCCTTACCTGAGCTCCACCCTGCCTTGCTCCGTGGGACCCCACTGCACTGTTCTGTTGAGCACTCCCTGCAGGCTGGTAGTCATGCCAGGCTCTTTCTGCCTTATTTTTTTCAGCCCTGCTTTGCCCAGAGCTACAGGTTCTTCTCAGGGGCTCCTCGCCTCGGCCTCGCTGTGCTGCAGCCTGCCGGCCCACCCTGACTTCGCTTTGCCATTCACTAGCTCACTGGCCAAGGGCCTTCGGGCTGATTTTCTCAGCAAACTTCTTTTCCCTCTCATTTCTTCTCGGCATCCTTCCCTGGGCTTCTGCCTGCCCCTTCCTCCGGTGACCGCCCCGTGCCCTGTCAGCTCCCACAAGAAGCCCTGGCCCGGGGAGCAGCTGCATTAGCAGTCAGCCTACGGAGAGGTTTTCCTGGCTCTGCTCGGTGGGGTCTGCTTGGGCCAAGTCGTCTTGGTCTCACCTTTCTAGGCCTCACTTTCCCCATCTGTAGGAATATGGGGACCAGGGCAGGTGTTGAAGATGAGCTTCTCTGTTGTTATTTTTAGGTTAACCCATGTGTTCTGAACGTAGTTGTTAAAGGAAAATAGTGTCTTGACATTGTTCTGACTCATACCAGGCATGCCGTGTTCTGGGAGTTTTTCTCAGGAATCTTAGGGACTCCAGGAGGAGATGGGGGCAGGTGCGGCCCCTGTAGCAGTGGAAATTACAGGGGAAAGGGAAGGACCGCTGGAGCCGACTGTTTCAGCAGTACAAAGGCAACAGGAAATGGCCACCCACATCTGTACTTCCCCCGGGTACAGCCACTGTAACCATTGTGGGGAAAGGAATTAGGTCCCCAGAGCCCTGACCCACATGCTGGTGCAGACTGTCTGTCCTGGTGACAAACATCTTCCAGGAAGGCCCAGAGAGCCTCTGGGGTTCGGTGGGGATTACACCCTAGCAGATGACTTCCTTGGGAGCCAGGTCCCTTCAAGGACTGAGAACAGCTCCCCGGCCTGTCCCCCGCCAGCCTCCCACCAGCTTTCCGCTCTGGCATGTGCCGTGGCTGTCCCGCCACCCCATCTGCACCGCCTGAGGCTGACGCACAGCTGTACAGGCGGCACATTTTTTCAGACTTGGAGGTCAGAGCTTCTGTCAGCTTCTCAGAGGGGTCTGTGACCCAGAAGTAGTTGCACAACCGAAGATCTGCCCCACATCTGTCCTATTCAGCAGCTGTCCCGACATCCTCCTTAGTAGCCCCTTGTCCTTAGTCCGACCTCTCTTTCCTGATAGTGCAGATGGGCAGGAGAAAGACTCTAGGGTCAGCCCCTCCAACTTGCCAGGGGGCCTGGGGCAAGTCGTTTTTCATCTCTGTGGGCCTGTTTCCTCATGTGTAAAATGGAGACCAACCCCACCCCCCATAGCCTCTGGGGTGGCCTGAGGCCCATCTTTTGCAAGGTAGAGAGTTGGGAACAATGAGTAACATAGACAGAGCGCTTGTTCCTAGCTGGCCCTTACATGGTCATCTTCTTGGAATCCAGCTGCTGACCCAGCGCCTGACACGGACCAATCGGATCCCGCTCTCGCCGCTCATTCTGTGGATCCCTAGGCATACCATTAATCTTCCCTAATCAGTCTCCTCATCTGAAAAATGGGGCTGATTATAGCCCTACGGCATAGGGTTGGAATGAAGAGAGGAAAGGTTAATAGATATGAACGCCCTAGCACACAGTTACCCTCAATAAAAGATAGCTGTTATTATCATCTAGTGTTAGTTGTCCTTCCTCCTCTTCAGGTGGCCACTTAAAGAGGTGCTAAAGTTACTGCCTATCATGGGGGGGCAGGTGTGGGCATGGAAGCCAGGGCTGCTAGGCCATGCTGTGGTCAAGAAGAGAGGCTCGCCCTGGCTGGCGTAGCTCAGTGGATTGAGTGTGGCTGCGAGCCAAAGTGTCGCAGGTTCGATTCCCAGTCAGGGTACATGCTTGGGTTGCAGGCCATGGCCCCCAGCAACCACACATTGATGTTTCTCTCTCTCTCTTTCTCCCTCCCTTCCCTCTAAAAATAAATATATAAAATCTTAAAAAAAAAAAAGAAGAGAGGCTCACGGGTGTCTGTCCTCTTTACCAGGGGATTCACTGGTCCCTGAGGTGGACTTTGACAGGCTGCTGGCTAGCCTGAAGGATCTCAGTGAGCTGGTGGTAGACGATGACACCCAAGAGACGCCAGTGCCCTGCGGAGCACAGCCCTGCGTCCTTGAGCCCATCCCACTGAAGCTGTACCGGAACGGCATCATGATGTTTGACGGGCCCTTCCGGCCGTTCCATGATCCTGCCACACAGGTAGGAGTGGGGGGGAGGGAAGACGGGCCTGCGGTGCTCCCCACGCTATTCATCATTAGTTGGAGGTGGTGGGGACCAGTCTGCCCACTACGGGCACTCAGACCCATGAAGGACTTGCGGAGCCCCCCACCCCCACCCCTGCCGAGTCCTGGGCCAGAGACTGGTCCACTGGGTAAGCCCGAGGCCCAGGGTCTGCCATCCAGGCAGGAAGCAGGGTGGGGTGGCTACACAGGCCTGGCCAGTTGTTACCCTTCTTCTCCCTCCTGCAGCGCTGCCTCCGAGACATATTGGATGGCTTCTTCCCCTCAGAGCTCCAGCGCCTGTACCCTGATGGGGGCCCTTTTAAGGTGATGAGCTGCTCCTCAAACCAGTCAGGGCTCCCTGTGTGGGGATTTTGCAGGGTGGTGGGGACAGCTTCCTCAGGCATCACTCAATCTGAGGCTTGAAGCATGTGCCCCACCTCAGGGGCTCCCAGTCTGATGACATTCAGGAGGAGGGTGAGCCTGAAGTCTGGCTGGGAAGGGAGCAGGTGGCTGCCCTGGCCCAGACAGCCTGTGACTAAGCAGCAGGCAGCGCCCCCTGCTGGCACTCTGAAGGCACAGCCCTCAGCTGTGGGACCACTGCCCCTCCTCCAGCATTTGAGACAACTTGACTGCCTGGGGTCCCTGAGGAGTCTACAAAGGTGACCTGGCTTCCCCTAAAGGCTCCTGGAGCCATCTGGTTGGGATGGGAGGTAGTGCCATAGCTGGGGGGGCGGGCAGGAAATGTTGGGACTAGAGGACAGGAGAGGGGGCTGGTCCTCTGCGGGTGTGTAGGATGGAGGGTGCTGTGATGGGAGCACAGGAGGCAGTGTCCCGAGGTCGGGGGTGGGTGAGTGTTAGTTCCACAATGAAGGCGTGTGCCACCATGGCTTGAAAAATAGTCATGATTGGGGGCCCATGCCGAGACAGGGGCCCAGGAGGTGTGTCTTGATGGGGACAAGTGAGGTGGTGACATGTAGAATGATGGGGTCCGCACTGCAGCCTACATAAGGGCTTTGTCCTCTCTGGGTACCCTCATCCCTGTCTTCCCTGTGGGCTCCTGAAAGGGGCTCTCGGAGAAGGATGTCAGGACTGTGGCTCAGTGAGGGCTGCCTGCAGGATGAGCAGGGCCCAGGTGTGCAGGATAAGCAGGGCCCAGGTGTGCAGGATGGGCCGGGCCCAGGTGTGCAGGATGAGCCGGGCCCAGGTGATGCAACAGTGTGAACTACAGCTCTCTTCCTGCTCTGTCTCAGGGCCTCAGTTTAATCACCTGCAAAGGGGATTGTGTCAGACCATCCCATGGGTCCATTCCTGGGGCTTGGGCAAGCAGGGGTCGGGGTGGAGCCAGGGCTGAAGAGCTGGGCCCACCGCTGTCTCCCTTCTTGCCAGGTGAGTGACCTGCGCAACCAGGTCTACCCAGAGAATAGGCTGGACCCATTTCCAGGCGAGGGCCGCGTGGTGGGCTGGCAGAGGATTCGAAAGCCCTCAGTCACAATGGAGCACCCAGGTGAGCTCGGCCATGAGGCTGAGCCAGGTGGCGGGGATGCTGTACAGGACACGCTCCAGGTGGCCTCCTCCACCATCACTCACAGATACCCACCCTCCCCGCCCCAAGCCTCTCGATGCCCTCCCCGCAGGCTCCAAGATGACTGCAGAGAGGTTTCTGAGCAGGCTCCCCAAGTATGTGATCCGTCAAGGCGAGGTGATTGACATCCGGGGCCCTATCCGGGACACCCTGAAGGTGAGGCCAGTCCTGGCTCCCCCAGTCTTCTTGGGGGCTTTACTGTGAACCCTGGCCCAGCCTACCAGAGCAGTGGTTTGTGTGGAGGCTGACCTAGGGGTGTCTGTGGAGGGCCTGGGTGACAGATGGGTGTCCTGGAGCTGTCCCACTGTCTCTTGGAACCTGGAGCTGTTGAGGGCTCTGGGCTGGAACCCAGAGAGCGGCTGGGTTGGCAAGGGTGTGGCTGTAAGAGGGGGAAGTCAGAGTCTTTTTAGGCCAGAAGTGGGCCTTGGGCCACCCCCTCAAAGTCCAGACCAAAAATCCAGTTCGGCTCTGGAGATCACTTCCTGGCCCTCACAGAACTCATCGCCCTCTCCTCACTCCTCCCATGTCTGTACTCGTGAAAGGTACCAAGCCTCACCTTCCCAGCACTCTGCCCCCTCTGCCCCACACTGCCAAGTCCCATCTGACCCGTCGACCTCCAGAGCGTCTGAATCCATCCCTTCTCTCCATTCCCACCACCCTCGTCTAGGCTCCAGAAGGTCTCTCCCAGACAACTGCAGCGGCCTCGCTGGCCTCCCACGTCCACTCCGGCCCTGCCAGCCACCCTCCCCTAAGCAGCCTCTGCTCTTATTTTTGTTTGTTTTCCATGTCCCCCCATTCATAATACAGACCAGGCGAAGGGCCTGAGCTGAGGTGCTCACTGGGTGCCTTTACTCTGCCTCTTCTTTCCGGAGTCAGCGTGAGAACATGGCCTGTGGGGAGCCCTGGGAGGCCGGCCTCCACTTTTAAAGATGTAAATTGGATCTTGGCTCTTTCTGGTTGAAACCCTCTAGTAGAGGTTCTTGGTAAAGCTAAGCCCTTGACCCCAGCCCCCCAGCCCACCTTTTCTTTCTTCCAGTCCCACTTGATTCCCAACTTGTCCCGCAAACTGCTGACACTTTCCCAAATGTATCACCTCCTTTCTGACCTGGGGACCTTTGCCCATGCTGCCTGCAGTATCCCTGCCCCCATTCCGTTTTCAAGGACTCCCCCTCTTCCTTCAGTCACCGCTCAGGTGTCATTTCCCTGGGGAGGTCTTCCCCGACCTCTGCGGGGCCAGGCATCCTGCCTGGTCATCATCAGTATGGGGTCCTCTCTCCCCCACTAGACTTTGGAACCTCAAAGCTTCCCTTCCATGTCCTCTCCTTGAAACTCCTTCACACAGAACACCCCCACCTTCCCCTTAGACTCATTGGTTTCAGCAATCCCTGGTCATGAACAAGCCCTCACTAAGGGCTGGGGTTGGGGCGTGACTCTGGCAGGGTTCGGGGCTCTGTCCACGGTCCATTGATGCCTTCTAGAGCTGCTGCCCGTGGCCTGTCCCGGTCCAGGAGATTGTGGTGGAGACACCTGCCCTGACTTCGGAGCGTAAGAGGTGAGGGCAGAGTGGAGAGGCAGGACCTGGGGGTTGGACCTTGGGGGCACCGACCGCCTCTGGGCCCACAGGATCCAGGAGTCACCGGAGTCGCCTGCTCCCCGGCTCTCCATGCTGCGCGTCAAGTCTGAGGACGGTGAGCAGGCCTTTCTGCTGCTGATGCGGCCCGAGGACACTGTCGGTGATGTGCATGACCTGCTCGCACAGGCCAGGTGGGTGTGAGGCCAGGCTGGCAGCTGCAGCAGGGATCTGGTCCCAGGACCCAGCCTGATCCATTCTGCCGGGTCCTCAGGGCCCTGGACGCAAACACCTTCGAGATCTTCCGTCCGTTCCCGCCCACAGTCTACGAGGACAACGCGCTCACGCTGCAGGCTGCAGGACTGGTGCCCAACGCAGTTCTGCTACTGCGTGCACGCCGCCAGGCTCTGCCACCTGCCCCCTGACCCAGCCCGGCCACCAATCCCAATAAAGCGCCCGCCCCTAACCAGCTGCTGCTCAGAGAGGCTCCTCTGTGGGGCAGCCCAGCTGGGCTCCAGGGAAGGCTGGGGCCCAGCTGGGCCGGGGAGGGGGCGGTGCTGACCCGCCCTCTCTGTAACTTGAGCCCCAGCTGGCAGGCCTAGGCGCTGGGTCTTTGTCTCCCAGGTTCCTCTTTCTCCCCAGAAGGGTTAAGCAGTTCCAGTGAAGGGGAGGCTGGCTCCAGCACTGGCTCAGCTGGGGCGGCAGAGCCTCATGGGCCAGTGTGTAGCCAGCAGATCCCCGTGCACAGATATGCACAGAACCACAAACATGTGGGAAGCTTCCTTGACACTGTGCACAAAGCCACTGTCCCCAAACTGGCAGAACTGCAGCTGTGCACCGATTCCCATGACACACCCACACTTAGCCAATTTGCTGGAACACAGGCAGGCAGCCACATGGCCCAGCCACATTACTGACAGACATGCAAATGTGTAGTACACGCCAAGGCAGAGATGTATCATCACATGCATGTGAACTGGAAGGGGACCCACCCACACTGTTTGCAGAAACCATTGGTCCACACAGACGTGTGCCGGACATACATCCAAACACATGCACTATCTCACGCAAGTGCCACACAGGGGACAGCTCAACCGACCTGCCCACAGGAGCACAGCCTCAGCAGACTTACATCTACCAGCCTTGCTCAGAGCAGGAACTCAGGATGTCTAGGCAACACCAAACAGACAAGGTGCCAATGGAATGGGACATTTAATCATCTGTCGGGTGCTCTCAGGTTGGGGTCTGCGGGGCCTTTGGCAGAGCGCTGGCTAATGGAACCAACAAAGGTGCCCATCAGCCAGTGCCAGGCAGGGTGGCAGCCCCAGGGCCAGGCTGAGACAGCCAGCACTTGGGCTGTTGTTTAAGACAATTTCTGAGACTACTGGGTAAGGAATGTTGCCTCTGAATGGAGGAGAGGGAAGAGGAGGATAGGCTTTGGTTGGAGGGCAGGGCTTCAAGGTCAGAAGGTTAGGAATAAAGGAGTTGGTCACAAGGTCCTTCATGGCCCACAATGGCTGGGGGCTGGGGGAATGTGGTGGCCGGGTACAGTTGGCCGGCTGGGGCTGGGCTCAGGCCAGTTTCAGGAACTCCTGCAGCGTGTTTTGTTCCACAGCCTCCACAAAGAGCTCATAGTCCTGGGGGAGGGGACGAGAGAGGGGCTCACCTGAGTGCTGGTGCTCTGTCTCAGGTCTGACTTTGGCCCGAGTCCTTCTATCACACTCCCCCTCCCCAACTCCCGGGCTCATACCCCACAGTATTGATCTCCGTTGACAATCTGAGGTGGGGTGGCCTTGGGGTTGCCCGCCAAGGCTCGCATCTCATCCCGCAGGGCGTTGTCCTGGGAGATGTCCACTAGCTGGTACTGGATGCGCTTCCCATCTAAGATGCGGGTCACCTCGCTCTGCTGGGATTTGATCTGGGGGCACGGGGAAGGCAGGGTTTGATGAGCAGGCTGGAAGGCTTAGAGGGGAAACCCAGGGCACACAGGGACTGTGGCCAGGAGCTTTTGTTCCCCCACTTCCCCCTCCACGTTCTGGAGGAGGGTTCTTGCTACTAGGACTTTTGAGGATGAGTCAGGCTTGCAGTGGTGTGGGAGAGAGGGGCCACCGACCAAGGGGAGGTAAGTCAGAGTAAAGGGAGGCGGGGTGAGGTTCAGGGTAGGTAGAGCCACAAGCTCATCCGTGGCAAGGCAGGGCAGGCCTGAGTACAGGCTGGTAAGGGGCCATCCCGTTCTAGGTACACGCGACAGAGGAGAGGAAGGGAAGGATGAGGAAACAGTGTGGGTCGTCCTGGTAGTGGGGGTGCAGAGAATGAGTGTCCGAGTGACACTGGATGGGTGTGGGCAGTTCCTGCTGGGGCTGCTGAGGCCCCAGGATGCCCAATGAAGGTGTTCAGGATGGGACCCAAGCCCGGAGGCCGAGCCTCGCAGCCCCCGCCCCGCCCTCACCCTGGGGGCGGATCCCGGTGCCCACGCTTTCCCCCAGCGTGGGCCCCAGGCACGCACTCACTTCGCGGGACCCGGTGACCGACGTGCTGTAGACGCGCAGGCCGCTCATGCTGCCGGTGAAAGGACTGGCGGATGAGCGGCGGTAGCTGTAGCTGCACGGCCTGGAGACGACGCCGCCGCTCGCTTGGGGAGCGGTTTCCTTCCTGCTCAGCCCGCGAGTCACCGCTCTCGGGACCAATGGGCGGCGCGGGCAGGGGCGGGGCCGGGGCAGGGCCTGTGCTACCCGCCCCTCGCACCGCAGGTCCCCTCCATCCCCACCAGGGCCCGGGCTTTCGCCCTTCTCTCTTCTGGGTTCCGTGTGAGACTGGGGAGGGACCCGAGGGCTGGAAAGGCCAGGAGGGCAGAGTTTGGCAGCGGCCACCTCCGCAGCTTCGTTCGGATTTGTTGTGCCCAACCACCCACCCTTGGTGCCACGACAGCGCCACGGAGCTCAGCTCCCGGCTTTGAATTTTGAAGGCTGTTTTCAGACAATCTAGCTCCAAGGGCCCCTTCTCTACAGCCCCCCAAGGCACACCCACAAATGGCTAACCCGCTGGGATAGGCACACCAAGGCAGGGACAACCCCTGCTTGAGAAGTTTTCCCCAATGTCCCTCGCCACTCTTGCAAACAGACAAGCAAGGGTGGTGGCAGGATACAGGGCCACACCCTCAAGGAGCCAGATGGAGGCCAAGGTAAGAAGAGGCTGCTGGGTCTGGAATGGGCGGAGGCAGAGGTTGGTGTCAGACTCCTTGTTCAAGATCCGCAGCTGGTCCTGGGTGGGGTGTCCCCAGCCCAGCCCCAACTCCAGGTCACAGATGGCACTCCCGACATCACTCCTACTCCCAGCACAAATGCAGGGTGTTCACAGGGAGCAGAGTGTAGCAGCCAGCCCAGTTTTGGAGATTGCTGTCTGGGGTTGGACATGACACCCCTCCAGAAGCCCCCCAGGTCCAGGGCTCAAAGAGTGCCCCAGCAAGACGACCCTAGCTCTTTGAGGCAAACAGCACCCTGCCTTGCTCCAGGGGAAGCCACTTCCTCACCCAGAGGCAGCTGACTTCCTCTTGCACACATCACTGCAACTCCAACCGCGACTTCGTTCTGTGACTCAGGGCAGCTCTGCCCAATAGAAAGCGGTATGGGAAGAGACCTGGTTTTCCTCGCAGAACAACAGAGAAGTAGAGACACAGACACGAGGCTGGTCCTGCCAAAGGTCCCTCCTTGCTGCTGTCTGGGGAACTTGGCCAAACTCCCAGGCTTTGGCTTCAACAAGCCAAAATAAGGGGTGGAGTAGGGGATAGCGGTGATGGAAGGCAATAGGAAACTGAGGAGTCTGTTAAATTTTTATTTTGTAATCAAAATAGGCAATACAAACCAGTTGACATAACAAGAGTTCATATAAATAACTGCTTATAAACTTTATGAAGAAAAATACCCGTGAGCATGGTGGCTGAGCTCCCAGCACAGGGTGGAGACCAACCAGGCAGTTCTGCTTTCGGGAGGCAGGAGCCCAGAGGCTGAGGGATGGCTGGGTGGGGCTGCTCTGAATGGAAGGGACAAGTCACTGCATAAATAAAACACAATTTGTAAAAACACTTAACGGGTCTCATTCAGGCCCAGCAGTGAGGTCCAGGATGTTTCCCTGACAGCCCAAAGCTCAGCAAGAACTCCACGGTGGCTCCTGAACTGCTCACTGCTCCCCATTCCTACACACGGCCTCCGCCTGGCCTGGCTCCGGCTCTAGAGGCGGCCTGGGGCCAGCCCGGCAACCAGATAAAAACATCTGTGAGATGCCCCCTCAATAGGAGGCAACAAAAAACAGAAAGCCCAGAGGCCCTAGAGAAACAACAACACCCCAGAAAACACTGAAGTGTACCTTAAAACCTGTACTGGGCACTCTGAACTCTCAAGGAGCCCAGAGCGGGAAAGGGAACCCCACGCACCCAACACAAAAGGCACAAATCAGGTCTGGGCAGGGGCCCCTGCCCCAGGGTGAGAGGGTGAGCAGCTTGACAGTTGACCTGGGGCATCCTGGGGGGAAATCCTGCCTAAACCCAGAACCACAAAGGAGTTTGCACTCCAAGTCCAAGAAGGGGGCTACCTGGACGGCCTGAGAATAAAGGAGAAAGGGGCTGTGCTAAACATATGGCCAGGGCCCCAAGGCCTCAGGGCAGCTGGAGAGTGGGGTCTCCTGCAAAATGGCACAGATGAAGGAGCCTATAATCCTTAGGCCCCCAATTCTAGTAGGTACTTGGCTAATGAACAGATCACCCTGAGGTGTCTGGGAGGACAAGAGCCCTGAGGAAGAAGCAGTGGGACTGGGCCTAAGCAAACCCCGGAGCTAGCCCAGCTCCCAGGAAGGCTGACACACGAGGCTTGAGAATTCTCAAATGACCACTGTTACTGGTACTCGGCCTTTCAAGGCCCTCTAACAAAATCTGTGCATCAGCCGGACCAAGGTATGGATCCGGAATGAATGTGGATCCACCCTAAAGGATGCAGAAGGGAGGTGAGAAGCCTGTTTGTCTTTGAGGTCAGTCTGAGGCTTGAAATAGTTTGTGAGGACTTACCAGGTGACCTGCAAAAGTTAATCATAACTCACCTTCAAAGGGTGAATCAGGATGATAGGACAAATGCAATCCAACAAGGCAAAGCCAGCAAGTGACAGAGCGGTCACAGTTCCCTAGGTAGCCCTTGGCCCCACATGGAGGCTCTTACCTCCCTTCCACACTTTCTCTGGGAATAGCAGCACACAGGAGGCAAGAGACTGTCAGGGCAGGGCCTGCTGGACTGTGCTCTCAGCAGACCAGATCCTCCCTTGGGGAATACAACCTGTCCCACACCCAGCATTCCTCACTGCGTGACACAGTTTTCTCCCATGTCCTGGGCGTATCTATCTGACATGGTGGTCCTTAAATCCTCGATGTCATGGCGCAGCTGTTGAACCTCTTCTAATTTCCTCCTGATTACATCCGGTTTCTGTAAATCGAGTGGAGTCCCTGGGTGCTGTGCAGCTGGGGAGGAGAGCATTTTGAGAGAATGTTAGTCAAAGGACACTTTTAGGTGGAGGGGCAGTATGCACAGGCTGTACCTGGAGGCCCCACAGTCTTGAGACACAGCATTTTTAAAATAGCAAAACAGCTGGGGATAGTGGGCTGCCCAAGGGCCACTTTTTGCTTGTCCTGCACCCAGGTACCCCCAAAACATGCCTGTTCTCAAAACAGATTTACAGAACATCTACTTTGCAAACACACAAACTCTCAGAGGACAGTAATCAGGCCCCCAGAGCCTTGTTCACACATTGCCATAAGGATGGGGAAGTCGGATGAGGGTGAAAGGAGAATGAACTCTCCTGGGTCCCAGACTGGCCTGAGGACTCACAGTGAATGCCCAGGAGCAGGGAGAGATTGGGGTCATGGCCCTGGGCCCTCTGGGTCACAATGCTACAGACAGCCTGCAGATCTTGAAGACAACTGGCCAACTCCTGGTGCAGCTCAAATGCCAGCTGGGCTGTGTCTGGTGAAGATGGGGACCCTGGTTGAGCTTGGTGCAGGTATTCCTGAAGCGTCAGATTCTTTTCAATCAGGTCCTGGTTCTGTGCTGAAAGCTGAGAGGAGAGATGGGCAAGAACATTAACCCAGGCCCAGGGAAAGACAGCATATCTGTATCTGAGTGTGAATATATGTATATTTGTATGTGAGAGGAGGCTATGAGTCAGGTGATGTCCCCCCTTACACCCCCCTTCCGGTATCGGGGCCTAGTTCCTCCTGTAGGTAGGCTGAGTCCACAGGGCTCCCGCAATGGCGAGGAAACCACTCCCCAGCAGACTCTGAATCATCAGCCTCCAGGTTTCTGTTCAGGAACCAGAGAAGATACTCCCACCCCTCGGAACTCTATCTGAAGCCAGTCCCTCAGCCAACTCTGTTAGCCAGGCTATTAGAGAAGGCTTAACGTGAACCGTGAAATCTGAGGAGACACTGGTTTCAATCTCTCCCTGCCACCCTGACAAAAGTGGCCACCAGCCAGTCTGATCAGTGTGTGTCAGAGGAATAGAGGGAGCAATAATGACAACGTGACAGCTAGTGGGCGGTGGGAGAAGCTGGGGACCTGGAGCAGACAGTGCTGGAATACAGCCTTCCTTTCTGAACCTTAGCTCAGTGGAGTTGGGCTTCGCTATGTAGACCAGTTACTCACATACACGTGTGTCTCTTCCCCCTCACCCTGCACAGCTTAACCCACTCTCCTCCCCTCCCTCCCTCCATCCTATTTTAAAGACACTGAAAAGACTTCCTCCTCCAGTGCCAGCCCTTTACCCATGCTGGGCCATGTGACGATCCTTGCTCTGGGAGACTCCCCAGAGGCACTTGGCCAGTGAACTTGGTTGCCCCCGATGACAGCGGTTTACTCCATGAAGACGACCAAGCCCTCAGTATTCCTGAACCCTTCCCTTCCCAACCCTACAAATCTGTGGCTGCAGGAAGACAAAGGGAGAGAGAATGACTTCCCACATACAAAAAGCATTCCTGGGTAATCATGACCACTCTAACTAAGCCAGGCTTAGGACCTTTAGTACAAAGGATAATGCAATGTCCCTTCCTATTCTTCCACCAAAAAAACCTCAGCAAGCACCTTTCAAACATGGGGGCTCATGTGGGAGTAGGGCTGGGGAGTGAGCACGCACAGAGAAACAGTACCAAGACGCCCGGCTGACGCTGCTCACCTCTTTCACAGCTGTGCGGAGCTGCTGCAGGGCCGTCTCCCTCCGCTGGGCCTCCTCTTTCAGGGCTTGGCTTGTTCCTTCTTCTTGAGCCACTTGCTGCTGTAGGCTCTAAGTTCCATGGCAAGGAGTGGTGGGAGAACACACCAGGTAACTAGTCTGGTTCAGAGCCTATCACCATGGCCTGGACTATATAGCAAAGCCCTACCCTGCCCACACACTGCTGCTAAGTGTTTATTTTGGAACGCCCTGACTGGAACCCTCCTACAGCCAGTGACCTTGTACAAAGTAAGAGGCCAGTTCCTCAGGAGGACATTCCAGGCCAGTCTGGCCCTTACCTACTTTTCAGTTCATCTCTCTTTTTACCCTCCACACAATTTACACTCCGGCCACACGGAATGACTAGGTGGCCTTCATCCCCAAAGGCTCCAGCTCCAGGATTGTTGCTCACTTCTCTTCCCCTTCGCCTAGACTCCTCTTCTGCTCTGTCACGTAGGAAACCTCCAAGGCCCACCTGAATGTTCCTTAATCTGCAAACCGGAGTCAATTAATCCTAACCTCACCCTGCTACTCATACCCCCATCGGAGCTCACGAGTGCATCCACTGGCTATGCACACAATGCCTCCCTCCACTACGCAGTAACTTTCTTGAGGGCAGGCAACAGAATCCATTCAGTTGAGTTCAATATTTATTGAGCACTTACTATGATGGGCTACAGAGGCTACTGAAAATAATACCAGTCTTCAGGGCACTCACAGCCCAAGTCCTTGACAATACTGTTTCAAATGCTTTTGACAGAGATGAGGAGTAGTAGAACATTCCTACAGGCACCAAATCTAGTCAATGTGTGTGTGTGGGGGGCAGGGGTAGTTTGGGGAAGGAGGTATTTATTTATATTTATCTTCCATCTCTCATTCTATTCATCCCAATATCCCCCCGATTTTATAGCTGATTTAAATAAAGTATAAAGGACACTCCCACTCTGGTTCAAAACAGAAGCCAGGAGTCCTTGATTTTTTCCTTATTCTTCAACCCCCTAATTCTGTCAGTCACTGATTCCTCTCCATTTCACCCACTAAAACTCACTCAAACCCATCCCCTCACATCTCCTTGCTGTGCTGCCTGACGCCAGGCTCCTCCTTCATCTCTCACGAGGGTCTGCACAAGTCCACTGGCCTCCAGCCTTGCCTCTCTCCGAGTGCCAATCTTCTTCCATGCCTGAGTTGCAAACCTGACCACATCACACCCCAATTAAATGCTGTAGTCGATTCCCATCACCTACCTAAAGAATAAAAGCTAACTAAATGGGAGACAGAGCCCTCCCACAGCCTACTTCTCCATTTGCCATCTTACTTCAACAATATCAAAGTGCTTGCAGCTCCATTTGTAAAACTGCAATTTTGTGCCTTCATGTTCCTACCCATGCCGTTCCTTCTATCTGGAGTTCCAGCTCCATCCTTTCCAGTTCCATTTCTTTGCCTAATTCCTCCTCTTCCCTCAAGGGTCATGACCTCCAGCAACTCTTGGCCTCCGCCTCTCCCACTGACTCTTCTACGCTCCCCTAGTGTAACATGGACATTGCTCTCACAGCCCTGTGCTGAAACCCTTCCCAACAAGACTGTAGGCTAAAAGCACTGATTGGGTCTCATTCTTGTTGTATTCCTAACACTAAGCAAATTGCATAGCAGAGACCAGTATAGACAGCTGGCTAAATTCCAGAGATTCCATCATTAAGTCATGCCTACAATGTCCCAAGGACTCTACTTCACCTGTACTTTTGAACGCAAGTGATCCATCTTCTGCTGTTGGTTTTCCACAATCTGAAAGGCAGAGTTATCAAGGAAGGCTGTAAGCACAGGCTGATGTTGCAGTAAAAGGCAAGAGGGGAAGAGGCTACACTAGGACCTGTGGTTTGTCTGTTAGTGCTACTGGTGAGACCAGTAGGGTGAAGACAAGTTAGCTCTATCCACAGAAATATGTGTAAGTCAGATTCCCTGTCCTGGATAACCAGTTTCACCCTCCTGTGCTTTATTTACCAGGAAGGAAAAAAAAATAATAGTGTGGACTCATGATCACTGCTGCGGGTTGAAGTGGGTGGGGGAGATGACTCACCTGATGACTGTAGGCCAGTGCCATTAATTTTATACACAGTCCGTGTAATTCTGATTCGTTGGTAAAGGGCATGCACGACTACAAGTACAGTTTAATAAAGCCTGCCCTATCCACGGATGTGATAGTTGTTACTTACAGCCTTTGTTACACTGATGTTCAAGGAGAGAAACTGAACAGGCCCAGTTTCCTGTCCTTTAAGACCTCAGGTATTCTCTGAATTACTTCTGGGTTTTCTTTTTTGCTGATCTGTGATCAGTCTCACCGGCAAGCCCTGGTCTCCTTCTTCCTTGCTGAATCAGGGCCACCTCAATGGTTAGATCCCCGCCCAGCGCAAGAGGTTCTGTATGGGGCCTGAGCCGTGAGTGAAGTGCACCAAGCTTCAGTGCGCCATTTTGAAGGATCTAGTCTGAACGTTTAGAGGCATGTCCTTCCCTTACTTTGCCTGCCTGTCATAAGAATAAATATCTAAAATGCAAACTTATTATGTAGGAATGGCTTCTTGGAAAAGAGGAAAAGCCCTGGGTAACAGACCCTAGGTGGCCCGGGGCCCAAAATTCAGGTTCCTTCCCAACACACGACTTTTCTCTTTCCTCTCAGCCTTGCCCCTCGTGACAGCCGCGATACCCTCAGTCACCTTCCGCAGGGAAGCACACTCCTTTTGGCAGGACTCCATTTCCACCTTCGGGCACTCTTCCTGTTGGGCTGGACTTTCTCCACTGGCCTCAACGCACTGCTTGTCTTGCAGGCTGAAAGACAGTGGCCTCTTTAAGAAGTCTGAGGTCAGGCAGAAGTGGCTCTGACTCCTGATCTATTTATTTACTGTATGTTTTGGGGAAAATCACTTAGGCCCTTCTGAGCCACAGCTGAGGATAATCTTAAGTCTGTTGTAATGTAGGGTCGGCCACACAAAAGCCGCTCAGTCTGTGTTAGTTCCCTTCCTTAGAAGCCAACATCTATACGATGGCCACCTGCCCAAGGCTTTTTTTATTCTTTGCTTTGATATATAAAAACAAACATTCATGACATGTATTTGGATTATAAAAGTCATACATGTGTACTTTAGAATTTTGGAAAATACAAAAAAATCTCTTTTTCTTGGCAAACATAGTTTGGGGCACAGGCAACTTTATCCCCTAACCTCACTTCCAACTCCAGCCGGTGGTCTCCTCCAGTGGACCCCTATACTCACTTTCATCGCAGCTGAGATAAACAACGGGGTTGAATATGGGATGAGAAATCCAATCCATCCATTAGAAACTGGATTTGGTCCAAGAGGCTGTTGAACCCAGCCATCACATTTTCAGAAAACCGCTATAAATATGGAGGAGGCTCCCAAGACACCCTGAGAGCACATTATAGCATCTTGTTTTGCTCTCAGAACCTGCTGTAACAATTGAGAGCAATCCCGAGGGCTGAGGAGAAACGGATGCTGCTGGTAGCCTTTAACTTACAAGGTTCAAAATGTGGATAACTCCCAGTTTTTAGCACCAGGACCTACTTTTGCAAATATACAGACAACTCATCTCCCAGTTTATAAAGTACTTCTATTCACTGAACACAAATACTCAAGGATTATTATCCAGCATTATTATGGTGGGCACTGAGTTGGATCCTTTCAAGGGCTACAATGACAAGCTCCCACTGCACCATTACGTGCCCCGCACTCCACCTAAAAGACATCCCTTACCCACAGGCAGCTTTCCTGTAAATCACAATCCAAAGAAAAGGAAGCCTGGAGAAGAAAAGCTATTTGAGCAGTCACGCAGGTAGTGAGTGGGACAGCCTGGACCAGACCCTGTTCTTCACTTCTTCCCGCAACCCACAGGGATATTTACCTATGTCTAGTGGAGAAGTCGGCTTCTCGCTGTCTTAGACCTTCCAGCTGAACCTCCTTCTCTCTGCAGGCTGCCTGGGTCTCCTCCAGCAAACTCTCCAGCTCGGTCACTCTGTCTTGTAGCTCTGTGTTCTTCAACTCAGAATCCTTAAGCTGAGAGACAAAACCTCATACTTAGGTCAACAAACCAAAAAGACTGTCTGGGTACCTAAAAAGTTTAGAGTCTAGTTGTAAATTTGACAGGTGTCAGTCTCAACATCTAGGGGTTTGAGGGGTTTTCCTTTCAGGAAACCACAGAGTAACTGCACAGAGCAGACTCTGAGAAAGCCCGCCTGGCTTGGCCACTCGCCGCTGGCCCCAGATATGCCCAGACATTGCTACTACCTGCTGACTCTGCTTCTGATGGTCTTCCAAGGTGGGCAGGTCAGCCAGGTAGCGCTCCAAAGTCTCAATACGCTGCTGCTTCTCCCGATTCTGCTCTGATTCTTTCTGACATTTCTTTTTCAAATTATTGATATGCTTATCACGACCTTTGACCTATGGAAAGAAATGTCAAGAACCTGTCTCCATTGACTCCTCTAGGACCATCAACTTTTTTCGAACTGACCATTGTCTCTGTCCTTATGGCTCTAAATGTTGTTTTACTGCACCAGGCTGATCAAATTTTTGATCAAAAGCTGATCAAATTTTTCCATTTGAGATTAGAACATAAATTGCCAAGTTAACACACCTGAACTTTTCAATCAAAGGCAAGGAAGAAGGGCTCCCTAGGCATTTTTCTAAAATTCCCCAAAGCACTTCTGCATAATAAAAAATTTGTCTGGTCTTTGTCCCAGGTTCCTTGGAGGTAATTTCTAAACTCTTGGAATTGGCCGAATAATAGGAGTGTCTTTGTTATTCACAGTGGGCCAAAGCCCACCATGAATGCATTTATGCTAATGAGATAACTCAGCATGATAGTCATTAGAAAGACCAAAGGAACTAAGCTCATAGTGCCCACCCAACAAAACTCCAATAAAAACTCTGGACACTGAAGCTCAGTGAGCTTCCTGTTTGGCGAACAAAAGGATGTGCTAGTAAGGTGGCATACACTGATTCCACGGGGAGAAAGCACAGAAGCCCTGCTTTCAAGACCTTCCCAGACCTTGCCCTTTGTGTGTCTTCATTTAGCTGGTCCTGATTTGTATCCTTTATAATAAAACTGCAATCCTAGGAAAGAGGACTCATGGACATGGATAACAGTGTGGTGATTGTGTGTGGGTGTGGGGGGAAAGTGGCTATAAGGGGACTAAATGGTAATGGGAAAAAATACAATAAAAAAAAAGCATAAAAAAACTTCCCAAACACTGTAATCCTAAATATAGCACTTTCCTAAATTCTGAGTTGTTCTGGGGAATCCAGAACTTGCAGCTGGCATCTGAAATAAGTGCAGTCTTGTTGGGGACCATGCCCTTAAACCTGTGGAATCTGATGCTAACTCTGGGTGTTCTGCATCAGAAATGAATTGCAGAAGTATATACAACTTCCTTGTAGACATTCAACTAGCCTGGTGTGTTCTGGTTAATAGGCAATGCATTCTTTTCTAAATACCACACGACACAAAGCTAAGCAATATCAACGGAAAGGGTTAATGAGACTGTAAACTTCTTGACAGGAAGGGCTGTGCCCATTTTTCTCATCATCATACCCCCAACACATAGCACAGTGGTCAACACAAAGCAGGCACTCAATCAAGATTTGTTAAATGGAGACTTTTTTCCCCACTATTATGGCTTTTTCTTTGACTTATGAAAAAGGAAGCTGGAGGAAGAAAGAGAAAGCAGAGGAAAGACAGATATACTGATGGCAAAGAGGAGGCAAAGGTCTAATTTAATCCAGAGATAAGACAGTACTAAGAGAGATCCCTAAAAATCAGTGTAAAGCTTTACCTGAGATACAATCTATATTCTTCAAGTTCAGAACCAGTGATTCTCACATTCTAATTTGTATCAGAATCACCTGGGAAGCTTGTTAAAAATGCTGATGACCAACTTTGAACTTTAAAAAATGATGGACAGACTACAGCTGTTTATCTTTTTCTCCCTCCCAAGACATCTCTAAAATGACAGGAAGAAAATAAATTTATTAGCTCGCCCTGACTAGTGTGGCTCAGCGGATTGAACATCATCCCGCAAACTGAAAGGTCACTGGTTGGATTCCCAGTGGGAGCACAAGGCTGGGTTGTGGGTCAGGTCCCCAGTCGGGGGAGTGCAGGAGGCAAACACACAGTGATATTTCTCTCCCTCTCTAAAAATAAATAAATAAAACCTTTTTTTTTAAGAGAAATATAGAGATATATATCAGGAGGAAGAGAATAATTGACAATGAATAATACCTTTGTGGAATGATCTGAAAACAGAACTACTTTTATTATAAACCTATTGATATTTGGTTATTTAACTTAGATACGTGTATTACTTTTTATGAAAAGTTTCTTTTTAAAAAGTCCTTGCTGTACCAATGGCGCCAACATCACTTGGGAGCTTGTCAGAAATGCAGGCTCTCAGGTCCCGTCTCCTCCCAGAAACACTGAAGCTAGATCTGCATTTTTAACAAGATCTCCAAATAATTCTTAAAAAAAAAAAAAAAAGATTTTATTTATTTATTTTTAGATAGAGGGGAAGGGAGAAAGAGAAACATCAATGTGTGGTTGCCTTTCGAGCGCCCCCTACTGAGGGCCTGGCCTGCAACCCAGGTTTGTGCCCTAGACTGGAAGTTGAACTAGTGACCCTCTGATTGGCAGGTGGCAATCAACCATTGAGCCACACCAGCCGGGGCCAGTAATTCTTTTTTCATTTTTCCTATCCTTAACCTAGAATCTAACTTTAATCTTAACCTTAACCCTAACCATATACCTATGTTCAACCTAAACCTAGCCCTAACTCTAACATTAAATTATACCTAACCATCTTGATAACCCTAACACTAACCCTAACCCATATCCTAATCCAAACCTATACCTATCCTCAACACTAACCCTAACCCTAACCATAGACCTAACTCAACTCTCTATTACAGACTCTAACCAGAAACATAACCCTATACTATCCTCAACCCTAATACTACATCTAACCCTCCTTCGACCCTAACCATATACCAAAACCTACCCTCATTCTAACTCAAAATGTAACTCTAATCCTACTTTCACCCTAACTTTAACTCTAACATTATACTTAATCCTCTCTAACCCTAGCCCAAATCCTAATCCTAAACCTATATCTAACCTTATCGTTAACCTAACTCTAACACTAACTTTACCAATATACCTAACCTTAATCCTAAACTAATCCTAACACTAGCCTTACACCTAAACTGAAACCAAAACCCAACCTTAACCCTAACTCTATCTATTACTAACCTCAACCCTACACCTAACCTTCACCCTAAACCTTACTCTAACCCTAACTATAACTTCAACCTATACTTAACCTCAACCATAGCCCAAGCTAACACTAGCTCTATATCTATTTTCAACCCAAAACCTAAGGTGAAACCTAAACCTATACTTAATCTAAACTTACCCTAAAACTAACCCTATACCTGATGCAACTCTACACCTATTCTAAATCCAAGTGATTCTTCTTCTTTTTTAAGAGAAGATTTCAGAAGGGAAGAGAGGAAAAGAAACATCAATATATGAGAAATACATTGTCACTTGCTCACCTCCAACTTGGGGACCTGGCCCACAACCCAGGCCTGTGCTCTGACTGGGAATCGAACCGGTGACCTCTTGGTACGCAGGCCAGCACTCAATCCACTGAACCACACCAGCCAGGTTCCAAGTGATTCTTAAGCACATTAAAGTTTAACATTTAAGAAGCACTGCTCTAGCTGATTTTGATGCAAGTGGTCCAGAGCTAAAATTACTAAACTGGTCCCCAAAGAACATCTGCATTAGAGCCAGCTGTGAACAGAATCAAAAGGTTTTAAATCAACTCCTCCTATGATGAACAAGCTCATCCAAAGGCAAATCTAAGTGCAATGGCAAAAATATCAGAACTCCCAAGCTGGCTGCACATGTGGAATTCTTCCCTTCGTTTTAAGCAGAGTGAGGAAAAACCAGGCTGAATGGTGTGAATTTACCACAGGATTTATACATCATGCAACAATACCATCTGGTGTGACTGCTCAGGTGGGTTTTCCATCCAAGCCAGCTGGTTGGGGGCCCATCGCATCCTGGGGCAGTGAGGGTTCTTTCTGTGATACAGTATTTTTGTGAAGATGAAACAGAAAGGAGGAGTTCCATTTCTGGAAGACCAGTCCTGCATGAGAAGTCAATGCAGGGTCTGACTCAACTGGCTCCTCCTGGTTCCAAGAATGGGAGCCAGAAACAGCTTAGAGCTTGGCGGAGAGGGCTATTGACTCTTTTGGGAATAAGAGAGCTATTCGCTCCTTAGCTCACCCTTTCTTCCTGTTTCTTCCCCTCCTCTGAATGCTTCTGCAACGCCACTTTGAGCGACTCTCTGATGAGCTGGACTTCAACTTCTGAGGCAGAGAGTTTCCTTTCAAGCTCGATCTTTTCTTTATTCAAGGCTTCTGTCTTCTGTGCAAATTGTGCACGTAAGAAAGTGTTCTCTCGCTGTAATTCCTGCAGAAAGATTCTCAATGTATCTATTCCTTAATCTTACAGTCCCCATCTACTTTACTTATCCCAGGAGACGTTGAGGTCAAATATCATCTTTCTCTAAACATTTCTTCAAGTAGTGCTTCTCAAAAGATGGTCTTAAGACTAACAGCATCAGTATCACCTGGGAATTTGTTAGAATGGCAAATTCTTGCACCCAGTTCCCAGGCCCACTGAATCCAAAATTCTGAGGTTGGGTCTCAACAATATATATTTTTAAATTTTATTTATTGATTTTAAAGAGAGTAGAAGGAAGAGAGAGAGAGAGAAACATCAATTTGTTATTCCATTTATTTATGCATTCATTAGTTGATCCTTGTATGTGTCCTGCCAGGGATTGAACCTTCAACCTTGGCCTATCGGGACGATGTTCCAACCAACCGAGCTACCAGGCCAGAGTTCAACAATCTGTGTTTTAAAATGCCCTCCAGGTGATTCTGATGCATGCTCACATTTCAGAACCACTGCCTTAAAGCAATACATGAGGAGTTGTAGTATAAAGGAAGGAACACAGGGCAAGACATTAGAAGACCTGGGCTGAAGGCCTGGTTCTCCTCCACTCTTTCTCTATACGATCTTAGGGAAGTTCTTTCTCCTTCCTTGGCCTCAGTTTCATTTTTAGAAAACTGAACTACAGTTTATCTAAGGGCCCTTCTCACTGTAACAATCTGATTCTATCAGATGGAACAGTCTTAACAGGCCCACTAGGTGGCAAAGCCAGTACTATAATCTGTCTATATTCACCACTCAAAAGCCCAAATTGCGGAGCTTGGTCAATAAACCAGGCTTCTTCTATAGCCACTGACCTTAGTGAGAAAATGATTTCCTTCAGCTGCTCCTAGACATGGAAGATAAAAATTAAAAAATGGCTCTAAATATCCCATTACACCTGCCTCTCCTTCCATTGGCCAGGGCTAGTACATTAAGACTTCTCAGAACATCACTCAACTCTAAGACCTTACCATGTACCTTCCTCTGCCTTCCTTTTCTCCCAAGTATGTCCTGACACCAAAGCATCTGGACAGCCACTTCATTCTACCCTCAAGTTTTTTCTGCCCCCTCAAGGGCAGGAGAGGGATGCTTTACAATTAGGATGCTTACTCTTCGAGGGCAGAAACACCTTATATCACTTGGTTTCTTTTTTATCTCCTGAAGATAATCTATCTTTTATCTATGCTAGCAGTGCCAAGCATAGCAAAGACACTGAATTATGACAAGCACAATGCCAACATAGCTGCCAATGCTTACCTGTAGCCTTAGCAAGCAGAAATCCCCAAAAGGGGCAGGGCGGCCCAAAAGGGCACTGTGGACTTGCAGTTCACTCTCTCGCACTTTCTGCTCCAGCTGAGAAATGTGTTTCCTCTGCCTGCAAAAGTCAGCAGAATGAGGTCCGGGGTCTGACACTAACCCACTTGCAATTATAAGCCTCCACTTTCCTTAGATGGGTACAATCCATACTATACAAGCAAGAACCTTGGATTCTGGGCAGTACTTTTTTGCTGGAGGAAGAACAAATGAGATAGCTGACTGAGGGGAAATGAGGAAAGATGAGCTGCAAAAAACCAGATGCCCCCTTTAAATGCACCCCCAGGGCCCATGCAGATACACAACTGATCTAACACATTAGTCAGATACAGGACTAGGCTGCTCATCGACCTAGCTCTACCATAAAGCAAGGAGTGGGCCTAAACAGAGGAGGATGTACTACTTTTGAGGAGACTTCATTAGGTCTCCCAAGTAGGGGCTGGGAGAACAGAAGCTGGTCCTATGGTACCCTTTGCTCTCTTACTTGTCAATGAGGAGCTCCTTTTCCTTCAGAAGGTGTTCATTACTGTTCAAGATGCTGACCCACTGTGCTGGTTCTAATGTGGGCAGTGAAGGAGCAAAAGCAGTGGGATGGTGGCAAGTGATTCCATTCTGAAGCTGAAAGACAAGCAGGTCCAAAGGGGCTTAATCTTAAACCATAGGCACCTGAAAACACCTGAGTAGTACCTGGCTGTCTCTGTAGCCAAGGCTCACTCTGGCTCAGCCTAAGAGGGCCCAGTGTTTATGAAATAATTTTAGCTCTGATGCATGACTGGAAAGAACCTGCCAGGGAGACTTCTGCCAACTGGATACTGCTCAGAAAGGCTCTAGTTTCTAAGAAAAGGTCAGTTATCTTTCATTATCTGGCAGCAGAGGCAAACCAAGAGCTAAGATGTCCTCAACAACCAGGAAAAGAGAGTATGTCCAGCTTCTTTCCTTCCCACTCTTAAGCAGCAGGACTCTTTTTTAAAACACAAAAGTGGTGTAGTGGGAAAAGTATAGCAGTGCAGAGATAGTTTTTAAACCCTAGCTCTGTCACTTAACCAGCTTTGTGACCCTGGACAATTACTTATTCTAAGAACCTGGTAAACTTCTACATATATCTCACCAGGATGCTATAAGGAATAAATAAGATTTTGTATGTAAAAGTACTAGCCTGGTGACTTTTTGGGGTCTTCCTTATAACCCTCTACTTTGGAGAACGCATCTGGTGTTTAATTAGACCACCAACAGATTCAATGGGATTTATAAGCCTTAACTTTCTATCTACAAACATCTTCCCTGTTTCTTATGAATGTTTTCTTTAGAGTCAAAACAAGACAAAACTTATACAGTGCAACGATCTGCACAGGACCTGCAAAATCCAAGGAAAGAAGGGCCTCTACCTGCATTTGCTCCATTTGTAAACGAATCAACTCCAGATGCTGCCGACAAGTGCTGAGCTCACAAGATTGCTCACGAGGATGCCAAGGGTCAGAGTTTGGCTGCCACACCTGAGAGGGTAGAGGCTTGGAGAGCCCAGGAGCAGGCTGAAGACCCAAAGGGAGCAACCCACTGCTACTAGGGTGTAGTCCATTCCGCTCACATACCACCCCACTGCCTGGTGCCTTCTTGGTCTCAGGCAACACTTTGTATAACTCCTTGTTTGGGTCAGTTCTTAGGTTGTGGAAGTGGGCTTTGTAGCGAGGATCTGAATAAAGTGTCTCCATCATTGCCGACTGATTGAAGGTAGACTCCATATTGGGAATATCAAACTTCCTCATCTCTTCTTCCCGTTCATGGCCCACTGCTGGAAACCAAGACTGCTCAATTCCAGTTTCTCCAGCGGCACCACAAAGATACATGGAGTCTCTAGACAGGCCTGGAGAACGTCTCATTGCACCAAGGTCTCCATTTCTTGTCATCCCCACACTTTCAGCCAATCCTGATAAAGGGATTTTAGAGGAAGAGGGTCTGTCAGATGTAGAATTTGGCTTAGCAGGAGAAGTCCCCAAAGTAGAAGGCATCACATGGGCTGTTGGAATGGTTACGTGGCTTTTGATGGGCTGGAAAGACGGGCTGCTACTCGAGCTGCAAAAATCTGTGGAGAAAACAGTCTTCCATAAGTCAAAATTGAAGCAGCAAGCTTTCTTCTGTTTAGCTGCTATGTCAGATGCCCTCTGCCTACCCTGAGACCAGGGAGAGAGGGTACTATCATCACAAATATCAGGAAGAAAGACACGACAGCCTAACTGGGAGATGTGTGTCCTAAGGTCTCAAATGCCATTCACAAGGTAAACCAACAAAAGGCAACACTGGCTTCATTTTTAACTTACACCCTGTTCCTCACATGTGAATAAAAAAAAATCTTGCCAGTCAACAAACAAAGCTGAAAACTGAACTTAAAAAAAAAAAAATCACTTACTTAAGGGAAATGGATTAGGTCCTACTCTTCTGGGAGCTGGGTACCTCTAATAAAAATATCCTTTCCAAAGGCTGCAAGAATCTCCTGTGACCTCCGAAAGCTCCACAGTGAAGGTGAGCAATGAATCAAAACTATCTGAAGAATAAGGCGAACTGGATAGTGCTGCTCTGTATCCAGGGCAGGGAGTACAGCATCTGAATCAGGATTTTGTTCTCTCTCCCACACTCCAGAAGTGACTGCCTGGATATGTGAAGTTATTCTTAGTAACTCTCAGGTTTCACTCTAGCACAGAGAGCACTCTCAAGTGGGTACACACTGAAATCCTCTATTTTATATTTTGCCTTTCACTTACACCTTTGCCTGTCTCCAACTGCAATTTTTCCCCTTTTCCTTCATACTGGACTTACATTTCCTTTAGCTCCTTCTAGTCTTGGGAGACAACTCTCATTAGCCATGCCAGAGAAGTCTCACATTTCTACACATTTCCAACTTTAAGGTGCTACACCGAAGAAGCCCTAGCCAGTGTGGATCAGTGGACTGAACGTTGGCCTATGAACAGCAAGGTTGCTGGTTCGATTCCTGGTCAGGACACATGACTGGGCTGTGGGCCAAATCCCTAGTTAGGGGCATGCGAGAGGCAGCCAATTGATGTTTCTTTCCCTTCCTTCTCCTCTCTCTAAAAATAAACAAACAAAAAATAAAGTGCTACTCTGAAGAAGACTACAAGGTCACAGAACTGATATGTCAGGGCAGTGGACTACAAGCAAACAAGAAAACATACCTGTTACCTTCAACATGCAGAAACCTGAGTAAGGGGATAAGGAATATAACTGTCTTCCCTTTTCAAGTATGGCCAGTACTCTTTTCCAAACCAAGCACATCTACCATGAAAAGAGTGGACTATCAACCTGTTTCACTTTTTTCTTTTTATGTTTTTTTTTTTAAGATTTTATTTATTTACTTTTAGAGAGAGGGGAAGGGAGGGAGAAAGAAAGGGACAGAAACATCAATGTGTGGTTGCCTCTCGTGTGACCCCTACCAGGGACCTGGCCCGCAACCCAGACATGTGCTCTGACTGGGTATCGAACTGGTGACCCTTTGCTTCACAGTCTGGCGCTCAATCCACTGAGACACACCAGCCAGGGCTCACTTTTTTCTTTCCATCAAACAACACAGAACACGCTCAGCTAATGAGGACAGATGCTATAACCTTTCCTAGAATTAAATCAGTATAGATGAGCTACCATCTTTTCATATGGGTTTATAAGCAGCTCTTTAAAAACAAATGCGAACCAAATTATCCCTTGTAATGTATTCAGAGTATCTAATTCCCTACACTCAAGATATCTTGGGGCTAAAAGGCCATACTAAAAACAAGCAAAGAAAACAAAAAAACCAGTAATTTCTGATAGCATGCATCAGCCTCTCAGGACCAAGAAAGAAGGACATTTCAGAGTCAAAGAATGTTTTTGATGTCCCACAATTTAAATATAGGACTAGTCAACAGGTAGACTGGTGGTGATGAAGACTTCTAATACTAGTAAACTCTCAATTGAAAATCCTCCATAATGGCACCATAGTATCCACTCTCACCAATGGTCCTTGCTTCCAAAATATAGTTTTGGAACAGAAGACAGTGAGATTGGGCATACAAGGGATTGCTACTATGTTGATGTTAGTAACACCTTCCATTCTCTGTCCACAGTATCGCTGTTTCTCAAGATTCATCAAATTCAGTTTTGATTTCGTAACATCCAAAATAGTAATGCCAAAACCAAAGCCAAAAATGTACCAACTGACCCAGGAGAATGTTGCTTTTCTAATTTCCTAGTGAGTGAGGTCTCCCTATGGATGATAGAAGAAAGTGAAATCTTTGTCAGCATTTGTCACTTGTCTATTTGGTTTAATTATATTAAGGAAACTGCCTGATTCTGACAAATTGCTATAAAAGTAAAGTTACACCTTAAGTCTGGTTTGCGGTTCAGAACATTCTAAAACAAAATAGCAACATTTATTTTCCAAGGGGTCACTATTTTGCACAATTTTCAAAGGCTTTCAAAATTTAGTGTATGGGATATGTCATTTTTATTTAGACAAGTCTGCAGTCCCTCAAATGATTAGGTTTTTACCACTTTAAAGATATATTTCTAAATCTCTCTTCTCCTCAACCACATCCTCCCCCACACCCCTCCAAAAAAACCCACAACCAATTCTTTTTAGCAACCCTCCTTTCCTAGTAAGGGGTAGTAGATTCAGCTATTGTTAAACCTTGATCATTCTGCCTACATCACTTACTGGTTTATAAAATATGAAGTCTGAACTAAGCCAGTGATTATGTCAGTCTTTAGCAAAGAGTTGAAAGCTTTTTGAGCTCTCCAGTATCTACCTCTGCCCTGTCCCTTGCGAATGAATCTTCAAGGTAAAACACCTTAGTGGAATGGAATCAAAAGCAAGCTTGTTCAATTTATAGATGCAACAATGAAATGTATTTTATACCAGTCATAAGGGTTCTTGTCAGCTGTGCTCCAAATAAACCAAGCTAGATTCATGAATGAAATGAGCAAAAATTAAGGGTCACAGTATATAACAAACCTGGTAGAAAAAACATCTTACATTCTTTAAAAAACTTCTAGACCAATGGCTTTGACCACTACATCAAGACTACTACAATTTAAAAAGAATGCATTACAGCGCAGTGGATTGCATGCCAGCCTGCGAATCAAAAGGCAATGTCGATGTATCTTTCACACGATGTTTCTCTCCTCCTCCGTCCCCTCTCCCGAAAAATAAATAAATAAAATCTTAAAAAAAAATTGTGCAGCTGAGTTTCCTATGTTTGGGGAAATCAAGGGTCAGCACATCTGGAATGCAATGAATAAGCCTCACCCAGAAAAAAAACACCTTCCCGATCATGGTATCTCCCCTCAGGTTAAGTATGTGTTTGGCTTTTTTTACTTAGCATAAATGTTTTCAAAGTTCACTCATTTTGTAGCATGTATCAATGCTTCATTTCTTTTTTATTGCTGAATAATATCCTATTCTATGAATACACTATTTACATTTTACTACCATTTATCATTATTATTTTTTTAATTTTATTTGTTTTTAGAGGGGAAGGGAGGGAGAAAAAGAGGAAAAGAAACATCACTGTGAGGTTGCCTCTCCCAGGTCCCCTACTGGGGACCTGGCCCACAATCCAGGCATGTGCCCTGACTGGGAATCAAACTGGCGACCTTTTGGTTCGCAGGCCAGTGCTTAATCCACTGAGTCACACCAGCCAGGGCCCATTTATCATTTAATAGAGATTTGGGTTGTTTCCATTTTTTGGCTACTATAAATAATGCTACTATAAGCATTTGTGTGTCTATGCCTAAGAGTAGAAATGTTGAGTTACAAGGTAACTAACTTCATGTTTGGCAGTTTCTTTTCAGAAACTGCCAAATTGCTTTCCAAAGCTGCTATAATATTTTACATTCCCACCAGCAATGTAAAAAAGTCCCAATTTCTCTACATTTTCACCAGGACTTATTATTATCTTTTTGATCACAGCCAGATATCTAGTGGGTGTCACATATGTCAAAGCACCAAAGTAATTAGTTTTGTGATTTTAATCAATTAATTTAAAACACTTTTGAGCCCTGACTGGTGTGGCTCAGTTGGCTGGGTGTCATTCCACAAAGCGAAAGGTTGACAGTTTGATTCCTGGTCAGGGCATATGCCTGGGTTGTGGGTTCAGTCCCCAGTTGGGGTATATATGAGAAGCAACCTATCAGTGTTTCTCTCCCTCCTTCCCCTTCTCTCTAAAAAGAAATAAAATCTTAAAAGTAAATAAACAAATAATTTCTAAAAAACATTTTGAGTCCTGGTTGGTGTGACTCAGTAGACTGAGTACTAGCCTCTGAACCAAAAGGTCACTAGTCCGATTCCCAGTTGGAGGGCACATGCCTGGGTTGCAGGCCAGGTACCCAGGTGTGGGGAGGTGAGAGGCAACCTATTAATGTTTCTCTCTTACATCAATGTTTCTCTCCCTTTCTTTCTCCCTCCCTTTTGTCTCTGAAAATAAATGAATAAAATCTTAAAAAAAAAACCTTTGATATTCAGTGATCTTATCTGTAAAATGAAAATAAAATATTTCATAAGGTTCTTAAAGTCATTAAAGAAAAAATATTTTTAAAATTTAGTGCAGTATCCATCACAAAGTATTTAATAAGTTGTTATTAATAATTATCATCAGGTCCTCTGCCTTCTAGGAATTCACCATCTAAATGAAAAACAAAATATCATCTAAACAAGAAACAAAAAGTACTGCTGGCATTTATTAATTTAAGTGCCAAAACAAGTGACAGAAACAATGAAGATATAAGGTTGTAAAAAGGAGGATCAGCAATGGGTGGAAATGATGGGGAAAGTCTTGTCAGGCACTTCACTAACCTTGAAAAATAAGGCCAGCATAGCTGGGAGGGACAAGAGGAGGTGGGAATACCATAAATAGGACCAGATTAAAGAAGCCCAGATATTAAAAAAAAAATTCTTCTCTTTCATAGCACAGTAAGACAAGAGACCTGGTACCAGTAAGAAACACACTGAAATAGGCGGGAGAAGAACTGAGGCCTCTGAATTTTATCCTGCAAATAATGAAAACAATTGACAACTACAAAAAGGGAAAACTATGAAATCAAGCTTTCAGAAGGATTAGTCTGGCAGTAGAGGGACAGATTAAAAAGTTGTTTGAGATAGGACAAACAGTAGAAATTGAGAAGGGAGAGGCTTTGAGAAGCAATGGGGTAAGAAGAATCAAACAGACTCCTTTCTGCGTGGACTGATTTATGAATATTCTGGAAATGACAATACACCTGAAACACAATCTGAAAATAATAACACAAACTGGTAATCAAATCATTAATACAAACTTACCCTCTGCCATGTCTGAGCACGATGTGCCAATGGCTGTGTCTCCACTGTCAGTAGCACTTGAACAGCGACTGAAGCGGCTCCGAAAGGCCTCCGAGATAACCGGGGTCTGCCATTCACAACCCAGAGAACTGCCTTTCTGAATCACACTGGAAGCTGAAACAAGTGGGATTTCCACCTTTAGTGTTAACCAGCTGATAATAACCCCACAATACTGTTTTTAAAAAAATCACTTAAACCTATGAAGGAAGAGCAGCACCCTACCCCTTTCTCTCTCCTGTGCCTATTTCAGCAACTCTCATTTTATTAATTTTCTTTTTCTTAATTTTGTCATTGTTGTTCAATTACAGTTGTCTCCCTTTTTCCCCCATTACTCTCTCCTGCCCTGCCCACCCTTTAAAAAAAAGATTTATTTATTTTTAGAGAAAGGGGAAAGGAGGGAAAGAGAGAGTGACAGAGACATCAACGTGTAAGAGAAACACCAATCAGTTGCCTCTCGCACACCCCCAACCAGGAACCTGGCCCACAACCCAGGGATGTGCCCTGACCAGGAACTGAACCGGTAACTCTTCACTCTGCAGGCCAGTGCTAAATCCACTGAGCCATACCAGCCAAGGCTGATTTTGTTAATTTTGAATGGAAATAGCATGAGAGGTGAGAACATTTAAAGACAGAACTAAAACCTATCAAGAATCCAAGTGTACTGAGACAGAAAACAAAATAACATTTAATACAGCTACCATTTCCTGAAACCCAGAAGCCATAACACTTTATAAACATGATCTCATCTACCTACTTGCAGAGAAGTATTATCTCACTGACACCCCTATTTTACAGAGGATAGAGCTGAGGTTTGGATCCAGGTTGTTCTAATCCCAATACCCACATTATTTCCTCTTACAAGGTTTCCTAACAGGTGCTTTTCGTGTTCTTGGGAAGACAATTCTTCCATGTATAGTCTATACATCGCAGGATGGTTTAGCATTCCTGGTCCCCATCCACTAAATGCCAGGAGCACCCTCACCCCTTCCTGCCATCACTGTGAAACCTGAAAATACCCTGTATGTTCCCAAATGCTCCTTAGGGTAACAGGCAGTAGAGTCCCTGTTGAAAACCACTGCTTGACTGAACCACAGCACCCTCATGGACAGGGTTGAATCTAGATCAAAATCAATCTGAAGAGCTTTTGAAAGTAATGCAAAAAGAAAGAAGGAAGGAAGGGGGGGAGGAAGGCCAACTACTAAAATTCCTGAGAGGTTAAGATATAAAACTGATGGAATTTATTTGACTTTATCATTTTGCTGTTTAAGGGCCGGTAAGTAGGAAGTGTTCAATAAATACCTGATTTAGTAATGTACTAGCAAAGACTTAAATTCAAATTATCTTTTTAAAACTACTATAATTTTCCTAAATTATACCTGATTATCCATGTAAACAAACAAGCAAAAAGGTAATGGCAGCTACTTATTCATTTAAAGTGTCAGAGTTTAAGCTGAAATCAGAACATATGGTCCTTACAGACTCTCTGATCCAGTGGAAAGCCAATGATAATTGAGAGCAGAAATTATCTTATTCCCTCCTTCCAAGCTACCTAATTCTTTCTTCTTGGGCTACCTTTTTGCTACCCTTACTTCTGCCTTCCACTGAAGGAAACCTAATTTTACCCAAAGACTCCTTTTATCCTTTTGGTCACAGTGGACTACCTGATTTGAAAGAATCTATTTACCTGCAGTAATCTGTAATAATCTTTTTTTTTAAGATTTTATTTTTTATTTATTTTTAGAGAGGGGAAGGGAGGGAAAGAGAGAGAGAGAAACATCAATGTGTGGTTGCATCTCACGTGGCCCCCACTGGGGACCTGGCCTGCAACCCAGGCATGTGCCCTAACTGGGAATCAAACCTGTGACCCTTTGGTTCGCAGCCCATGCTCAATCCACTGAGCTACACCAGCTAGGGCTCTTCTTTTTGTAATAATCGTTAACAAAAGACATAGCCAACAATCAGAGTTGCTGATCAGCATAAGATTAACCAGTGTTAACTATGCTAAATTAGTGTAATTTTAGCCAGAAGCAAAGAATTTGACTTCTTGGTGTGTCTATATGGTGTTATGTGTCTAGTCAGTGTACCATTTGCCAGGCTTTTTGAAATACTGAAAATTGATGCTTGAGGACCTGTATTTACTATGTTCCTGGCCTCCTACTGGGAACCAGTCCCTGTTGTTATTACTACTAATTTTCCATTCTTCACCCCTACCACTTTTCCATGCACCCATTTCATACACCAATTCTAAAGATATATTTCCTAAAATAAAAGTATGTTTTGGTATAGAGGCTTATGATTATTTCTAAATTCAAGTTTAAAAGCTGAAATTTTCTTGTATTATGCCACATGGCCTAGCAGTAGCATCCTTATCAAACATTAAATCATTATGAATCAAATGAGACTACTGAACACAAAACTATGAGAAAAGCAGTTAAGCTTTGCTAGGAATTGCCACATTCCAAAAACTTGCATTATACACAAAATTGTCATAAGAAATTGTGACAATTTTGTGTATAATGACAATGCCCTAAGACAGTGCATGGCATATAACAGATGTTCAATAAATATTTGTTGAGTGAGTCTTGAATTGATCCAGCAAACACTTTTCAAAGTACCTACTATATGCAAGATAGCACGTCTAGAAGAATAGAACAAATATCTACCAAATGTCTGTTTAAGTCACTGTGGGATATTTTTTGTTTAAGATTTTATTTGTTTTTAGAGAGGGAAGGGAGGACAAAGAGAGGGAGAGAAAGATCAATGTGTTGTTGCCTCTCATGTGGCCCCCACTGGGGACCTGGCTCACAACCCAGGCATGCACGCTGACCAGGAATCAAACCAGAGACTCTTTGGTTCTCAGGCCAGTGCTTAATCCACTGAGCTACACCAGCCAGAGTGGCACTGTGGGATTTTAAAGTTAAATAAAAAATACCCTCCTTAGTTGTATAAAATATACCCTTTTCTTCATAAATACCACAGAGCTCAAGAGTTATTTCTAAAATGCTATTTAAATGTACGATATCTATTTAATGTGTATGGAATGTGTGTATACATTTATATATGTTTTATATCCTTAATATATCCTTTTAGTATATCTACTGAGCTTTCAAAATCTTGTCAATCCATTCTAGAGATAAATTCCTGAATCTCTAGTGCCAATACAACTGAGACTGTTGACATTCAAGAAGAATTCCAATCTTTGTGGGCCAGCAGATGTCTGACCCACCCACAGGACTACAAAGACAACATAGAACACAGTAATTTATGCTGTGTTTTTCTGATTTCAAATGGAACTATGTTCCAAAGTCATTCTGTTCCAATCCTTTATGTGTCCTCCCCTCTCAATCAATCACGTGGTCTTGTTGCAAGCCATGTAGGATCAGGGATAGACAGTTGTTCTCTTGGAGAGACCTCTTTTTCTATTCAATATGGCCCCATTTTATTTTTATTCCTTTAATACCAACAGCTCAGGGAATGCTTGCTTGCTCAGTATGTTCTTTAAAAGAAATTTCTATTATGAAATACCAGGGCAAAGGTCAGAATTTACCCAGAAAACTCTGACTACTCACCTGGTGAAGTAGCATGCGAGTTCCTCTCACTTGGATATTTTTCCTGCATGGCCATCAACAGTTATCTGAGCCAACTGTAGAATGAAGGAGTAACCAGTCAGATCTCTCCACTATCTTTCAATTACCTGTAACTCATTTCCATTCAACTGAAACTATCAAAATCACATAGAGCATTCAAGTAGTCATCCACATGTTTTACTCCTATGGATTACTTTTTAAGGCAAAGCTATTCCCAAAACTCCAACCTACTTTTCTTCCCAAAGCAAGGAGAGAAAACCTAGAACCAAACAGATTCTCAACATCGATCCTATATGGTCCTAGAACCCCCTCCAATTGTTGCAAAAATTAAAAATAATATTACTTTAAAATTTTTTAATTTATTGATTTGAGAGAGAGAATAGGTGGGGGAGAAACATCTGTTATTCCACTAATTTATGTATTCATTGGCTGCTTCTTATATGGGCCCTGACCAGGGATCAAGCCTGCAACCTTGGCATATTGGGACAATGCTCTAGCCAACTAAGCTGCCCGACCAGGGTTTACTGTTACTTTAAAATTAACAAACTGCCATGGATCTTCTTAGCCATGGGGACAGGATGGGGTGGAGCAAGAACTAAATAACCAAACCAACAATTAAGTATTATGGCTTCAATTGTGATTAACATAAAACAAATTCCCTGATCAATCCAGTAATGAAAGTTAGTCACATGATGAACAAAGTTGAACAAGTTCTTGGTCATTAGCAGAACCCCAGTCCTCAGATGGGAACATGAAGTTTTTTTCTCATCTCTCCATTCTTTAAAATCTTTGTATTTACTCTAATGTAAGTTCTGAGAATTCAGCAGAAGCTGATTACTATCTGTGTAAGTAAAAGTTGTTTTGCTTTTTTTTTAAGATTTTATTTGCCCCTGGCTGGTGTAGCTCAGTGGATTGAGCACAGGTTGCGAACCAAAGTGTCACAGGCTTGATTCCCAGTCAGGGCACATGCCTGGGTTGCAGGCCATGGCCCCCAGCAACTGCACATTGATGTCTCTCTCTCTCTCTCTTTCTCCCTCCCTTCCCTCTCTAAAAATAAATAAACAAAATCTTAAAAAAAAAAAAAAAGATTTTATTTGCCCTGGCTGGTGTGGCTCAGTGGACTGAGCACCACCTATAAACCAAAGGGTCGCTGGTTCAATTCCCAGTCAGGGCACATGCTTGGGTTGTAGGCCAGGTCCCCAGTGGGGGGCACACAAGAGGCAACCACAGATTGATGTTTCTCTCTCTCTTCTCCCTCCTTTCCCCTCTGTCTAAAAATAAACAAAATCTTTTTAAAAAATTATTTATTTATTTTTTAGAGAGAGGGGAAAGTAGGGAGAGAACCATCACTGTGCAAGAGACACATCAATTTGCTGCCTCTCGCACACCCTCAACTGGGGACCTGGCACCAACCCAGGCATGTGCCCCGACTGGGATTTGAACTGTCAACCTTTTGGATCACAGGCAGACAATAAATCCATTGAACCACACCAGGCAGGGCTGTATAAACAAAAGGTTTAATTAACTGTAACCAATAACAGCAAATAGCCCTGGTCAAGTGGTTAAATTGGTTGGAGGATCATCCCACCAAAACGTTGCAGGTTCAATCCCTAGTTGGGGTGCATATAGGAGGCAACTGATTGATGTTTCTCTCCTTTACTTTCTCTCTAAAATCAATAAACATATTCTCAGGTAAGGATTTAAAAAAATAACAATAATAGCAAATAATATCTTTGCACAATACTTGACAGGCAGTATAGAGAAGCGGTTCACAGTATGGACTCTCGATCAGACAGCTTCAGACACCTGGGTCTGAAGCTTGACTTAGCAGTTTATTTGCTGTATAACAGGTAAAAATTTCTTAATATCTCTGTGCCAGCCCCGACCAGGTAGCTCTGTTGGTCAGAGTGCCATCCCTATATGCCAACAATGTGGGTTTGATCCTGGGTCAAGGCACATACAATAGTCAACCAATGAATGCATAAATAAGTGGAACAAAGCGATGTTTTTCTCTCACTCTTCCTCTCTCTAAAATCAATAAATTAAGCCCTGGCTGGTGTGGCTCAGTGGATTCAGTGCCCGCCTTTGAACTGAAAGGTCACTGGTTTGATTCCCAGTCACAGCACACGCCTGGATTGTGGGCCAGGTCCCCAGTTAGGAGCATGTGAGAGGCAACGGACTGAGGTATCTCTTGCATATTGCTGTTTCTCTCCTCCTCTTTCTCCCTCTCTTCCCTTCTCTCTAGAAGTAAAATAAACTCTTAAAAAATATATACCTGTGCCTCAGTTCCTTATAAAAAAGAGGGTAGAGACAGGACCCAATTCATGCTAATTCATTTAGAATGAAATTACAATAGTGTCTGACAAATATTAAGTGCTTTATTAATTTTTTTAAAAATTATACTTGGCAGCTTATATTAATAAAAAGTGACATAGTACAGTTCCTGGAAGATAAAACATAAATTTAGAAACTTTTTTTTAAAGATTTTATTTTTTTTTTAAAGATTTTATTTATTTATTTTTGGGGAGGGAAGGGAGGGAGATAGAGAGAAACATCAATGTGCAGTTGCTAGGGGTCATGGCCTGCAACCCAGGCATGTACCCTGACTGGGAATCGAACCCGCGACACTTAGTTCAGCCCGTGCTCAATCCACTGAGCTATGCCAGCCAGGGCAGAAACTTTTAACTAAGAAGAACCCCCAAAGAGTTTAGAACAAACTCTGCTAACAGAAGAACTCTTAGAGATTAAATTAAAACACTGGAGGGAAAAAAAAATTATATGGTACTATTTCTCTAATGTACTTTACTGACCTCTATAGTTTTCTCTTAGTAACAACAACCCAAATCCTCACTAATTCGCTGTATTTACAACAGAAATCCCAAGTCTTCGCATACTGGGTAACAGAAGTTTTGTTCAGTAATAAAAGTTTCAATTTATGGCCAGTATCATTCAGTGTATTAATGGTGAAATAGAAGGATAAGATTACCTACCTACTAGTGATATCAAACAATCAACATCAAAATCCTTTTTTCACCCCTTTCTTTAAAATACAACAAAATGATAGGCCCACTGGATTCTAACACCTTTCCAAATTTAGATAAATTGAAAACAGGATGACAAAAGAACTTTCAATGAAACAAAGAGTTACCTTATGACTTAGCAGTTCCACACCTAGGTATATAATACCTATATTCTATACCTATATTCAAGAGAAATAAAAATATAGGCCCACACAAAATCTTGTATTGAGTACATGAATACTCATAGCAGCATTATTTATAATAGCCAAAAAGTAGAACAAACTCAAATGTTCAACTGTTAATGAATAAGTATAGCAATAAAAAGCAATGAAGTACCAGTACATGCTACAACATAGACATTGAAAACATGATAGTAAATGAAAGAAGCCAAAAACTAAAGGCCAAATTTTATGTGATTCCATTTATATGGAATGTCCAGAATTGGCAAATCCATAGAGACAGTAGATTATAGGTTGCCAGGGACTAACAGGGGGGCCATAGGGGAATGGGGAGTAAATGCTAATGGATATGGAGTTTCTTTCCAGGGTGATCAAAATGTTCTGAGATTAGGTAGTGGTGATAGCGCACAACCTTGTGAATATACTAAAACCAGTGAACTGTATACACATAAAATTAAAATTTAATGATATGTGAATTGTATCTCAATTAAGAACTCCCACAAGGGTCTAAGGCCATACCACCTGACCGCACCTGATCTCGTCTGATCTTGGAAGCTAAGCAGGGCTAGGGTCTGGTTAGTACTTGGATGGGAAGAACTCCCACGAGGAGTAAAACAGTAAAATAACTACTGACTTTCTCCTATTAAGTTCAGAAGCAGATGGGCTACTGGTGGAAATTTTTAGGACCATTTGAAGATAAGAGATTTCCTGAAATAAAAGTGAGAGAAAAGGTATGAGAACCAAAACAGCCAAGAAAGGTAGGAGTGAATGGAGGCAGAAAGAAAAAAAGCACCCAGTATTGATGACTTTTATCTTCAAAGCCCTTTAAACTACAGTAATATTCATCCATTCAATAAATTTGACATGTATTCAGTACTTACTTACCCATCAAGCACTGAGCTAATCATGTCTTATGTTTAATGCTCACATCAAACCTAAGAGGCAGTTACCATCATTATCCTCATTTTCTGGATGAAAAAATAAAAATTTAGAGAGGTGAAAGTCGTATAGTTAGAAGAAGCTTCACAGCCAGGACTGTGCTCTAATGCTGTGGAAGTCTAATCAGCATTCTTTCTGTGTGTAACAAAGAGGGAAATACAGGAAGTCCTAAGGCACCACAAATTGTAAGTTTCTGCCTCAGACACAGCCAGACCTGCAAGCCCCAGAGCAGTCAGGAGCAGAGACAGCTCATATAATTTCTTCACTTTGTTCTTGGTCACCACCCAGGGTCTATTTCCCAAGCTGCTACCCAGAAATTAAGTTTTGACTGTTATAAGCATTTCTCCCCTTCAAGAATTATAATCTTAGTGTGGAAAGTCACACTAAGCAGCTGTTGAGAGAATCACAAGACAGGAGAGGATCTGAAGGCATGGATACACAGGCACATTAAGAATCCCACACCAACATCACAGTATTTTCATGGCCTTGATCATTCATTAAACCAGACCTAAAGAGAAGCCAAATCATTGCCAAGAAGTTTCCTTGACAAAGAACAAGTCCTGAAACATACTATACCAACAGACGATTATAAAACAGACAAGGCCTAAGGGCAAGTAATGAGGCGCGGTCATCTTCCTCACCCTGGTAGCACCACTCCTTCCTACCTAACATTCATCAACCAAAGTTGACCGAGTGCCTACTATCTGCCTTACTCTCTGTCAGGTGGCGCAAATACACTGGTGTAAAAGACAAACAGGACTCCGATCCTCCCAGTTTACTGTGATGAAGCAAGCACTAAATATCCTCTATTGACCAACTACGTTCTAACAACAAATGCACAAGCTCCTCCTTGCCTCGAGCAGGGTTCCTTAATCTCCATACTAAGATACTGACATTTTAGGTCGGGTAAGTGTTTGTTGTGAGGGCTGTGCGGTATATACCGTAAAGTGTTTAGCAGCAGCACCCCTGACTTCTACCCACTAGATGCCAGGGAGAATCCCGGAGCTGTGACCATCAAAAAATCTCCACATGTTGTCAAGTATCCCGTGGGGAGCAAAATCTCCCTGGCTCAAAAACTCTGGCCCGAGGCCTTCACAAGTGCTCTCGGTCCCCCAACCTTAACTCTCTATTCATTCTTCAAATCTCAGCTCACACTTCACTTCCTCAGGGAGGGCTCCCTGCCCTCTCAGACTCCAGCCGCACGCCTTCCACATCGTACTCATCGGACTCCACCCTGCACTGAGTGCTGAGCGCGTAAACCACCTCCTTAACGTCTCTCCTCCCCCTGGACTGTGCGCTGCAGGAGGGCAAGGACCCCGCTTCCCGCCGTCCAACCGGCAAAGGGCTCGTCCTCTACCAAGGTACAGCAACTGCTGTGGCGTGAATGACGACGGAGTAGAAAGCAACGCGATAAACACGAGGGGGCGTGTGTGCAGCATGATTTTAGGAAGCCCTAGCAGCGAGGAACCTAGGAGGACGGAGTTGTCATTCTGCGCATGCGCGTTCGCTCACCCGCGCCAGCCCCCTTCCCCCGCCCACAGAGAAGGCTCGTGCGTGTCCGAGGCTCCTCCAGACCTCTCCAAGGTATAGTACGGTTTGTCAGTCCGGCGGGGTGCACCCAAGGGAGGGAGGACTTACGTGGGCCTGAAAGCGGACGGCGAAATGCCTCACTCAGGGATACCAACTGCAGTCACCACGTCGACCACGGGCGGTGACTCCGTCCCTCAGCTCTCCAACGGCCGTTACACGCCCGCCAGGCCGCGCGCCTCACCGCGCGCGCCGCCCCGGCCCCACCCCTTTCTGCCCTCCTGCGACCAATCAGGAGTGGGACCGCGCCGGCGTTCCGCCCTTGCACGCTGCCCTGGGCTCTTAGAGCGGTCAGCTCTCTCTGCGCATGACCCCGCCTCCCCCGCGAGCCTTCTAGTAGGTCTCCCGCCGGAGTCGCGTCTCCGCCAAGAGGCGAAGAGTGCTGCTTACCCAGGCACGGGGTAACTTGCGGGGCATGTGCAGATGGAGAAACTGGAGGCCAGGGCAAATCATTCCGGAATCCCACTCGGAAACCTGCCCCACTCTCCTTCCATTTTCCACCTCTTATCAGGACTCCCACCTGAAGCTGGGGGTCAGTCAGGTTGTGACCAGTGGTTGCGGTGTGGGTCGCTGCCGCGTCGGGGTTAGGGCTTGTGCTGGATTAGCGATCATTTTATGACCAGGATTCAGGTTGAAGGATTAGTCTTGCCTTCTTACCCAAATTCAGTTCCCAGGAAAAGGAACTAACTTTATTTGCATTAATATATACTTAAGAATCATACTGGGAAATTGTTTAAAGGAGGAACAAAGCTATCAGCCAAAGGATAGTGAAACTCCAGGGTTTCTGAAAAGCTGACTTTGGAAAGAGAGACATTCAAAAGTTGTATGATTTTTTTTTTTTTTTAACTTTGAAGAACCAGACTAAAGAGCTTTAATTACTGGATCAAATTCACTAGAGGAAGGACTCTGGGGACGTGCTCCAGGGTTCTAGCTCCACCTTCATATTTTAAGAATACAGAAGGCATAAAATAGATTTCATGGATAATGAATCTGGGTATGATGATAGATGAATATAGGGAGTATCCTTTGAGATTAGAAATTGTTAAAATACTAATGATAAGGATAGGTGTCTAAATGAATGCATCTGTGGACTGGTGGATAGGAAATAGACTGGTAGGTGGCGGAAACGTCCACTCCATGGCTTCCATTTCTTTTGTGAAAAGCATCTATGAGGAGGGAGGGAACAGGAACATGTAGAGGACTTTGAATAAGCGGGAGGATTTGAAGAGCTGATGCAGAGAATGGAAGAGAAACCTGACTGGAAACAGTGAGAGGCTGAGATTTAAATTTACAAATGGCAATAAAATAATACTGAATATCAACTGTAATTGAAAAATAAAATTTTAAAAAAGAAAAAATGTACAAACGGCAAACAGTACATTTGTACAGTTTTTCTCCAATGTATATCTTTATTTTAAAAGAAACTTGCACTACCAGTTTTAAAATGTTAATGACTCCTCATTTATATTTTAACAAAGACTTTTGGTGTTAATTTCAGAGAATATTCACAATCAATTTTTAGGTATGATATATCCTCTTTTTAAGATTATACTTATTTTTAGAGAGTGGGGAAGGGAGGAAGAAAAAGAGGGAGAAAAACATTGATCAGTTGTCTCTCATATGCACTGCAACTAGGGGTCAAATCCACAACCCAGGCATATGTCCTGACTGGGGATCACACTGGTGACCTTTCACCGTGTGGGATGACGCCCAACAAGCTGAGCCATACCAATTCAGGGCGGTATGAAGTATTTTTAAATTTTCAGATATCTTATTACTTTTAAAAGACTTGCTACTTATTTTAATAGAATATATCAATGGAATTATTATATGCAATGACTAAAAAAGGACTCAAGTTGGCCATATATGCCCCACCCCAACTTAGCCAGAGAAAATGAACTGCACCTTAGTTGTAATAAGAGCTACTGCTTCCACAAGCATTAAGTGTTGTTTGGCAGTTTATAAGTACAGTCATACCTTGTTACTCGTCAAATCCTGTGCTCATCTCATTTTGACGAGAAAAAAATGTTTCAGCACTCAGTGCTTGCTCGGATGTCATCGCCCTTGCTAGAGCTTGTATGAATCACGATGATGCCCCACAAGAGAAAATGCTTCATTGTTTGGTACTCATAAGTTTCGACACTCATCACAAGTTCCGGAACAAATTGACAATGAGTACCAAGGTATCACTGTATCTATTGTTACACAGAACAGAGGTTTGATTTTGTTGTTTGTTTGTTTGTTTAAAGATTTTATTTTTTATTATTTATTTTTAGAGAGGGGAAGGGAGGGAGAAAGAGAGAGAGAACTAATGTGTGGTTGCCTCTCACATGGCCCCCAATGGGACGTGGCCTGCAACCCAGGCATGTGCCCTAACTGGGAACCGAGCCTGCGATGCTTTGGTTCAAAGCCCGCCCTCAATCCACTGAGCTACGCCAGCCAGGGCTTGTTTGTTTTTAACATGGCTAACTAAGTACAGCTGAATCTCAATAGCTTCCTTGTTCACTTAATTTTGTTTCATTCTATTTTCTTCTTGAGATATTTAAACATGGTACAGTCAATAATATTTTGCCCTTATCTTCCAGGATTTATTTTAAATAAGAGCAGAGCCTTTGTCAACAGGGCTTTTTTTTTAGAAGTTTAATTTTTTAAAATTGATTTCTAGAGAGAAAAACATCAATTTGTAGTTCCTCTTATTTATGCATTCCTCGGTTGCCTCGGTTGTATGTGCCCTGACTGACCTGCAGTCTTGGCGTACTGGGACAATGCTCTAACCAACTGAGCTACCTTGCCAGGGCCACAGTAGGGCTATTTAAACAGTCTACTCCAAACCTGTAAAGTCAGTATGAATTTCCAATGAAACATAATTAATTGTCCTGCTTTAATAAATGTGTAACTTTGATATATAGGGAAAAATAATATGGATTGATCATCTGACTTTTTTTTAGGAGCTGTTAAAGCATTAAATGACAAAAGTTTTTTCAACTAAAACATTAAGACTGTTAGTTAAACTTAACTTTTATTTTATTGCTTGCACCAACATTTTCCCAAGAAACTTCAAAGTGATTATAGGTATCAATAAAAAGTATTTCAAAAGTAAAACAAACAACACCCTGTGTGGCTCAGTTAGTTAGGCATTGTACCTCAAAGGAAAAGGTCACTGGTTCAGTTCCCATCAGGGCACATGCCTGGGTTGCAGGTTCGGTCCCTGGTTGGGGTGAATACGAGAGGCAACCAATCAATGTTTCTCACATTGATGTTTCTGTCCCCGTCTTTTCCCTCCCTTCCCCCCTCTCTAAAAATAATTTTTTTAAAAAAAGTAAAACAAGCAAAAAGAGGCACAGGGTCTTCTTAGGATTTTGTGACAGTGCCACCTGTACCAACTTACAAAGCCTGTCCTGCTTCCTGGTCCATACCACCTGCTTCCTGTACTCGGCTGTCTTTCTGTAAGGTCAAAGACTATCTTGTGTACTGTTGAATCCTCAGGGCCTAACACAGGAACTGGTACTTAGTATAATATTCCAACCTGTTTTTGAATGAATAAATGATAGCAATAACAGTGCTGCATGTATCCACCTTCTCCTACAAAGAGGAAGTGTATGAGATTCTAAATAATGGTCAGGGTACTATATTATATGGATACGTTTAATTGTAATTATGAAATTGAATAGCTCTTGCCTATTCTGCAGGAAAAAGATATAGGACCAGGTGGCCAAGACCTAGGAACTTACCCTGGAACAAAAGTCAGAGTCCCCATGTTGAAGCAAAGATCATCTAGTCAAACTCTTTCATTTTACATATGGGGGAAGAGAGACCCATAGAGGAATAAGTGACTACACACACACACACACCATTCCTCATATAAACTCTGTGGTTAGATTATATAGAAAAGGAGTCATATAGCCCTGGCTGCTGTGGCTCAGTGGATTGAGCACCAGACTGCAGACCAAAAGGCTGCTGGTTTGATTCCCAGTCAGGGCACATGCCTGGGTTGCAGTCCAGGTCCCTGCCTGGCTGGGGGCCTGTGAGAGGCTACCAACTGATGTTTCTCTCCTATATTGATGTTTCTCTCTCTCTTCCTCCTTTCCCCTCTCTCTAAAAATAAATAAGTAAAACCTTAAACAAAAAAAGAGTCAGACAAAGTATAATTCCCTGCTGTTTATTGGGCATACGTTCTGCTCTGCCCCCTGCCAAATGGAGAGGCTCAATCTTGCCCTTGAAAAGTATCAGAGATGGGAAGGGGAAAATTGGGTGAAGAAACATGGCTTGAGGCTCAGTAGCCACATTCCTTACCAAACAGTAATTTTCTCTCCCTAAATCTTCTTCCACCTCACCTTTCCTTCAAGCAACTAAGCTAAAGGCCAAGGGCTAGTGTTGGAGCATATATCCCGGGCAGGATTTTATCCTTGTATCCACCCCATCACCATCAGAAGAAAAATAGCCATCCAGGCTCCTGTAGGAAAGAAAGAAATAATTATGAGATTTGAGAACCTAGAAAACTTTAGGCTTAGATATTCCGCTTTGGGGATTACTTAGTAACCTATTCATTCACTCTTTTTTTTTTTAACCCTCCCCAAGGACATACTTATTGATTTTATGGAGGAGGGGGCAGAGAGATAAACACTGATGTGAGAAATACTCATCAGTTGCCTCCTGGGGGTGGAATCCACAATCTAGGTATGTGCCCTGACCAGAGTGAGCAAGCCCACAACCTTTTTGGTGCTCGGGTTGAGCCACCAGCCAGTGCCATTTATTCTTTAAACAAAACTTTCCTGGGACTGACTTCATGCCAGTCCCTCCATTAGATTGGAGGTGAGGCAGATGGAGATGAGAGATGAAATTCGCTAATTCTATGAGGATCTCACTCAGCTCCCACCCCACTGTGGTCACATGCCTAGCCCTGTATCTTAAAATTTCAACCCCTATTCTAAATCATTTCTGGAGAATCTCAGGTTCTGATGAGGTATAAAACTCTACTGTGGACAAAAAAGGAGTTCTAAGTTAACCTAACAGGGTGATCTGACCATAAACTCCTAACTGGGCAGGTCTTGCTGGGTAGGCAGCCCCAGGCATATGACTCCTCAATAAAAGCTTTATCTTTGCCTTAAGCAAGCCCCATCCATTGTTTTTTGTGCATTTAGTTTACTGCACCTTTGAAATAAGCATAACCACCTCAAGAGAGCACAATATCTTGTTGACTACCCTATAGTCCAGTCACCACCTGTTCCCTTCTCAATCTTAAATTCATAAGAGAAACTACAAAACTGTATTTCTCTGTATTTGAGATCTTGCTTCTCAGCAATTGCCATTAGTTGTGGCAAAAAAATAAGTAAATAAACTAAAAAACAACAACAAACAAAACCCCACAAAAAGAAGGAAATAGACTTCCAGTAAGTCCAGGAAGCTCAGAGAGTCCCAAAGAAATTAGACCCAAGGAGGAATATACTGAGACACATCACAATTAAATTACCCAAGATTAAAGATAAGGAGAGAATCTTAAAAGCAGCAAGAGAAAAGAAGAGAGTTACCTACAGAGGGGTGCCCGTAAGACTATCAGCTGTTTCTCAAAAGAAACCTTACAGTCCAGAAAGGGTTGGAAAGTATTCAAAGTCATGAAAGGCAAGGACCTACATACAAGATTATTCTATCCAGCAAAGCAATCATTTAGAATGAAGGGCAGATAAAGTACTTCCCAGATAAGGTCAAGTTAAAGGAGTTCACCATCACCAAGCCCTTATATGAAATGTTAAAGGGACTTATCTAAGAAAAAGAAGATTGAAACTATAAACAGTAAAATGACAAGAGACTCACAACTATCTACAACCAAACCTAAAAAAAACAAAAGCAAACTAAGCAAACACCTAGAACACGAACAGAATCACCAAAATGGAGATGACATGGAGGGTTATCAGTGGGGAGGGGGAGGAGAGAGAATGGGGGAAAAGGTACAGGGAATAAGAAGCATAAATTATAGGTACAAAGTAGACAGGGGAAGATTAAGAATAGTATGGGAAATGGAGAAGCCAAAGAATTTATATGTATGACCCATGGACACGAACTAAGGGGAGGCAATGCTGGTGAGACAGGGAGTGCAGGGTGGAGGGGGATAAAGGGGAGAAAAACAGTGGGACAACTGTAATAGCATAATCAATAAAATATACTTAAAAAACATAAAAATTCTCTACAGGTTTGGATGTTCTTACACTGACACTATGACTATCTCACAATAACTCATGTACTGCTAAGGAGGTTGAGGCTCCAAGAGGGTAACTGACTTCTCCCAAGTCACAGAGTTGAGCAGAAACAGGATCCAGGAACAGCACCTGCCAGAACCGCGTGCGCAGCCCCAGGCCCTGGTGCCATCCTTGTGTACCAACCTGCCGAACTCCTGCTGCTGGAAGCACTGGACGCTAAAACCACACAGAAAGAAAGATTGAAAGAAAGATTAAGCTTGAGGAGCCATCCGGACAGGATATGGGCAACATGCTCCCATCGACATTGGGCAAAAAGCTGACCCCTTTTTGAAGCTGGGACTCACAAGGGTGTAATGATGAACCTTCTGCCTCTAATAAGAATAGATTTACTAAGGAGACAGGCTTGCCCTTGAGGGTGGGATCTTGAGAGGGCTTGAGACCAGCAAGGAGGATTTACGAAATCTCGCTGGCACAAGGGACTAACAGATTAGGAGAGAAGTGCTCCGCTGTGGCAGCAGGAAAGGTGAGAAATGGAGAACGGAAGCAGAGACGACTCAGACTAGGAGTTGAATGAGTAGCAGAAGGACCTTTCCAGAGCACAGGGGCAGGCCAGGAGGATATGGGCCTAGGGAGGAGACTTGGATTTAGGAAGGAGTGAGAGGGCATGAAGGTAGGAGGGGCCCTAGTGAAGGGTCAGGTGTCAGAGCAAGTCAGTGAGAGCTCTGGAATGGAAGTTGGAAAGGCTCCCAGAAGATCCAGTTACCGCTTATTCGGATGGGCCCGAACACCATCCGGCCCACGCCGCTCTCCGAGCGCCTGCGTGCCCAGGCTCCATTCTTCGCAGGCGGATTCTTCAGACTACAGGTCTGTCGGGACACCAGCGTGAGGGTAGCGAGGCCCCTTCCCACCCCAACAGGATCCGGCCTCTGCGGGAGGCTCCAGACAGCCCCCGTGAGTTCGCCAATCCGCTAGACCCTGGGCTCCCGTCGCGGTATAAGTCAATCACCTCCCCAAGCTGCCCCTCAGCCCCGCCCTTGGCAAGTTAGGCCACTGTCCCGCCCCGTCTTCTACGTCCCCGAGTCTTTCCCCCAGGATGACCGCATTGCTAGGCGTCCGGCTCCCTGCTGGCCGCGGGGAGCTGAGACCAGGCAGGGCTGCAAGGACGGCCAGGAGCCCCCACCGCCTACCCCCACCCAAGCTGTTCGCTCACCGGCTGGCATGGGCGTCCCGCCTGCTTGTCACACAGGGTCACTCGGCCATGCAGGTAGAGCATATCGCTGTTCAAGCGGAACAGTTTGAAGGCCAATGTCACCTCCAGAGAGGCCCCGTTGTCCCGCAATCCCCAGAGCAACCGGTGGCTGACTGGACAGCTGTGGGGAGAGGCAGCGTCACTCATTTATAGGAGCCCCGGCTCGGGGCCCCGCAGTGTGGATGGACAAACACCGAGGTCTCCCTTTTGTGCTTGTCCTGTATGTTTGTAGGTGCTGGGTCTCTTACTAAGAACTTTATGTGCGTTATTTCATTTCATCCTCACATCAATCCTAGGAGCAAGACAATAGTTTGCCTCCTTCCCCTTTCTTTTCTTTTCTTCCTTAAAACAAAAACAAAAACAAACTTCTCTCCCCCGCTGTCTTTTCCTTTCTTCTCCTCCTCTTCCTCCTTACTATTATTATTTTGATAGTGTGGTGGTGGTAATTCATGGTGAGGTGACCCTTTATTTTTCTTCATTATCATTTCCCCCCACTAAGGCTCTGTCCTTTCAATAAAGTTTGTTTCCTGAATGAGCATAGTTCATCAGTGACCCCTTATTACCAACATCTGCTCCAAATTGAAAAGGAAATCTCAGTTACTGGTGGCAATTGTAGGGATTGGTGACAGTCTTGACAGACATTAAATTCTGAAATAAGGAATTCAGAGATCGTGATCTGAACTGTCCACAATATTAGCATAGTGACTTTTTCTGAGGTGACAATAACCTAAATGTAACTGCTTCACCGTAACTGGTAATAGTTGGATAGACCTGTGGTGTAGAGGCCATGGATAGAAATGCATTCTTACATAGCTCTGTTGTAGATGCTTGGAAAAATTAGGGAACGCGAGTGAACAAAACAGACCAACACCTCCTATTCTCTTGTGGGCGAGAGGAGACAGACAATAAATAACTTAATTAAAAAAGTAAATGATCTCATGTAGTACAGTACATAGTTTGGAGGTGATGAGTAGATAGAAGAAACAAGTAGGGATCTAGAGTGGATGAGTGCAGGGTAGTCTGCAGTTTTAAAAAGCATGGGCGGGTAGCAACGGTGGCATTTTAGCAGACTTAAAGGAGATGAGAGTTTTCCATGTGGGTACCAGTGAGTTGAGCACTCTAGGAAGAGAAACTAGTCTATGCAAAAAACCTGAAAAAAGAAAAGGCAAGAAAAAAAGAAAGAAAAAGCCTAAAGGACAGCAAACTACTTTCCCACTGAGTTATTCAGTGGGAAAGTCCCACTGTCCATTCAGATGCCACCTCCTGTGGGCACTGGGGAGTCACCCCTCTGGTCTCTACCCAAAGCTTAGTTAGTCTTTGTGACCTGGGACTTTTATTCTAGGGCTCAAGCTCACCATCAATAAATCCATTCCAGTTTCCCCCTGGATGAACCCTTTCTTTTTTAAAGATGGGGAAACTGAGGCTCAGAGAGGTTGAGTAGGTTACCCAAATTTCTTCAGGTGGCAGCCTGGCTCTAGTGCCCACCCGTACCCTAATGACTAAGTTCTATTTCCTCCTGAAAAAGGAGGAATTACACGCCAGGACAGACTTAGTGTTTCAGAACCTGGACAATGGAGCATGAATAGAACAAAAGTGTGTCCTTGGTCAAGTCGTTTAAACTCTCTGAAACTTCTCTAATCCCTTCATCTCTAAAGTGAGGGAAATAATATTTCACAGGGCTGTTTCAGGAATAAATGAGGTCATGAATGATTTGCTGTACTCTGTAAAGACTTGTTAATATTAATTAAATACAATCTAGAAGTCAGGAGACCCAGCTCCTTTTCTAGACCATCAGTTGTTAAGAGTAAGGACTTCGCCTTACCTATCTTTGTGTTCCCAACACTTAGTAAGATTGGCCACTTACAAACTGTGTGACCTGAGCCTGTCTCACCATCTATAACATAACAAAAATACTACTTCATACAATGTGTTGTAAGCCTTAAATGAATTAATATATGTGCAGTGACTTGAACAGTGACTCGCCAGGGAGTAAATGCTATGTCAGTATTAGCTATTATTAGCTATTAAATGTAATGCATGTCAAATGTCTAACAGTGTACAGCACTCTGAATGTTAGGGTTTGTTTTTTGTTTTTTTTTACTTTTATCCCTGTAAGCCCCCAATAATTGAGCAAAGAATAAAAGGAATGAATGTCATTTACTGGCTGTAATCTTGGACAGACCTGAATTTCCCTACACCTTAATTTAATAATCTACAAAATGGGAATAATAATAATACTTGCATTCATTCAACAAACATTCACTCAACAGTTACTTCCTCCCAGTGTTTATGTACCAGGGGTACAGAGGAGAGTGACAGGATCTGTGCTCGTAGGTACAAAAGAACCCAGCACAAATCATAGTCCACGGGCTAGTCTGGCACGGGCAGGAGGTTACCAGGCCTGACAGACACTTACCTCTCCTTCACAAAGTGATGGGTGGCCTTAGCAGCACCTGTCATGAAGATGCTGGTGCTGGCAAAGACCTCATTGGCCACCAGGGCAAATCTGTCTGGATCACTGCTTGTGTCTCTGAGGACCACGTAGAGAGGCTTGCCAAGGGGAGATGGTCTGTTCTCAAGTGGAGACAAGAGCTCAGGGTCTGTGAAGATGCCCAGGATGACGATGGTGTCCCCAATCCCCGGAACATGGATGGTGCTATATCTGGAGAGGGACTGGAATGAGACCCCAGAGGGGGACCCCATAGGAACGGACACCCACTTCATTTCTGCCTTGCACCCAAAGTCACTGAGCACTTGTAGCTAGAGAGAATAAGGCAGGGGGAGGAGCAAATCTGCTAAGCTTCCTCCTGGACCTCCTAAAAAGTGAGGGCCCTCCTCATAGATCCCCAGACCTAGGACCCTTGAAGCTATCCAAGCCATCCTATTACATGGTGATTTACATAAACAACCCATAACACATTACTTCATAAAAGCATCTTTTTTTTTCTTCCACGAATGCTTCAAGTCTTGATCTAACAGGTTTCCATGGTTGGTGGGTGGTCATGGAAAACTGTCATCCTGAGGGTGCTGACTCCTTTTGTCTGGATTAGACATAGCAATGGGAACTCAGGAACCCCCACAGGGCCCAGCCTGAGAGGCAGATGACAGAGCAGAACTCACGGGAAGGAGGTCACCGGGTAGGGGTGGGTTTGGCTGATGTTCACCACCAGAGGGTACACACAACTGAGGCTAAGCACTGTGGCGTTGGAAGTGGTAACACCAGGGAGATCCTGCAGAAGATGCTCCTCTAGCGAATAAAGGGCATGGCTGCTATTGGTCTAGAAAAGACAGGGAGGCAGCTGTTACTCTCGGGTCTCCTGAGGAAACTTCCCATCTTGATTGGCTGCAAGTTGTTTATTTAAATAAAAGTAGTGACCCAACTTTACTGAGCATGTGGCTGTATGCCAGGCACCGTGGCTTGACCGTGATTCTCCGAGGAGGGCTCTGTTATCAGTCCCATTTTACAGAAGAGCAAACTGAGGCTTAGAGAGTTAAAAGGCTTGCTGAAAGCAAGTAACAGAGCCAGAATTTAACATCTCTCTGATTCTAGAGCCCATGTTCTTAACCTAGGTGCCAGTGGTTCTCATATATCATTGTGTATTTTAGAATCCCTCAGAAAAAAATAAATAAAAGAATTGCTAGGGTGTTTGGGAAATTGCCAAGTCCTGGTCTCTATTCCAATATTCATATATTTTTTTGATATTGAAACCAGAAAAGTCAGCATTTGTTCTGCTTGTCCCTATCAGAACCAATAAGTAGAGACAAGGATTGAATATTTATGGGCATGTTATTCAGATCTGGTGATCTGAGAAGATGGCGGGTTATGTACCCTAAAAACAACCTTAACATCTTATTTCAAGCCAACCTTTTTATGAGGAGAAGAAAAGGATAGGTAAAGGGCTTGGGAAAAAGTTTAATCGGAGAAGAGTCGCAGCCCATGGAGATTTTCCTAGTATTTCTTTATCTGATGACCAACAATTTTTTATCTGCATCATGGATATTCCTTCCCTGAAACACAATGGCTCAGATACCATCTCGACCCCTGGGGCACATAGGTGGACCTGCTCATGGGCCTCCTGGAGTCAGGCATTCCAGTTCCTGGAATAACAGCTTTTCACGTGTACGAGTCACTTAAGCCTATCAACTATAACTAAGGCTGAAATATTTAATTCTTGAGTTCCCCTACCAATATTTTATTGTTTCCATAAGGTTTTTAAAAAAGAATCAAAATGACTTGTTTTGTTGCTATAAAATAAAGCAGTTATTACAAAGAACACTGAGAGTTTTAGAGGCATAGCCATGGACTCAGCTATTCTGTGTTGAAACTGCCAACTTTGTTCCATGACCTAAGCAAGGAAACGCATGAATCTCTGAGGGGTGGCAGAACTAGGGAGGATGGTAGACACTGGTGGAACTAAATCACCCCCCGTATGACAATCTGATTTTCAAACCGAGTCAAAGGAGCCCCAGAGGGCATCCCGAAGAGGCGTGAAAGTCCACCTGTATGTGAGGGGGAAGTTGACCCAGCAGAACACTCTTCCTCCTCCCTCATTCAGTCAGAGCCAAACTGCTTCCACATACTTATTTTTACATTCGGCATTTATGTAAGATTTCTTCCAAAGAAAGGAGGCAGCAGCCCTGGTGAAGAGTACAAACAAGCTCTGTTAATAACTAACCATGAGAGTTAGGAACATCCCTCAACTAAGATTGCTGATCTTAGATTGCTCATCTGTAAAATGGGAACTTCACAGGATTATTGTGGAGACTTAATGAGATAATGCATGTAAAAAAAGACTGACCCACAGCACATAGCATGTGCGTGATAGGAAATGAATAAATATTGATTGTGGTTGTTATTTTAAGGGTTTTATAAAATTAAATGGTTTTGTAAGTAAATATAAAAGGTTTCATGACAGAGAAGTTTGGAAACCAATATCCCTATTCATCAAACACAGTACCCAAGTATAAGCACATTCCCAGTATGATGGGGGATTGGTCTTTCCCCCAGAAAAGACTGGCCTCAAGGCTAAGACTTGTCTTAGTTTTGGAGAATCATTCCTCAGCTAGATGAAAATAGTCACAACTGGAGCCCAGTCATTGCTTTCCTAGCCCCACCCCACCACACACACCTGCCCCACCTTCCTACCAGGTGGCCCCTCCCAGCTTGCTTACAGAGAGGCGGAGTCCACAGGTACCCTCCTTCTTCTCCATCCTGAAGACTTGGGCACGGAGACCTTCCTCTATCTCGCTGACATTGGAGCATCCTGAGAAGGCACCTTCCCTCAGGATCCAATGGCGAGCCTTCAGGAAGCAGCTTCTCAGGACCACCTCAATTTTCTGTGGCTTGCAGTGCAGGGCCACCAATACTCCGGACAGTTCTGCGGGAAGACAAGAACCAGGGCAAGGGCCCTCTGAGGCTGCTGGGATGATGCCATGGGAAGGGATACTGGTTCTAATGTGGGTGGAAGAGACACTGTGGGGCTATTAGCCCAACCCACAATGACTCCTTTAAACAAAGACTCTCCCTCACAGGAGGTGAGATCCCTGTACCATGATTGCACCAGGGGACGCAGCCTGAGATGATCCATGTGCAGTTTCTTTCCCAGGAACTGGGCCTAAAAGGGGATGGTATCAAGCCTGAGAGTCATGAGGCTGCCTTGTTGGCTGAGAGGCAGGAAAAGCCTGTGTGTGGAGAGAGAAACTAAACAGATGCAGGTGCCCAATGGGAGAAGCAAGATTGAGAAGGGAGAGAGGCGACCTCCTGGTTCCTGCCACTTTCACAATTCCAAGTCCTAGTCCCCGGAGAACTTGGTTGGAGCCTTGGGTTCCATCAGACACCCTTATAATAAATTCTCCTGTTTTCCCTTAGCCAGCCCAGTTGGTTTCTGTTACTTATGTGGCAAGATTATTTTTGACGATATTAATTTATTTTGTCTTTGATTTTCCTCCCACTCCAAAAGGTAGCCTGGGCCATGGGGTTTTTTAAGAGACTTAAACTGCTTGAAATTAATGGCTCTTCCTGTCTTATAAAAGCCTAAACCCCGAAGAGGCAGAGCTGAGGGAGGGGGTGGAGGGAGCTCCTTTAAGAGCCATGAGGGGGAAGGGTCAGAGTCTTCAAGTCCTCTTCAGGACTTTTTAGTTTTGTGAGCCAGTGGATTTTGTTTTATTTCGCTTCATGTTTTCCAGTTTTTGAAATGTACTTACTTACTTTGCTCAAGCCAGTTCGAGTTGGTCTTCTATCATTGGCACCACAAGGTGTCCTGACAG